GCACGCAGTTCTTTTGTGAGTTCTTACCACATAATGCTCTGATGCTGCAAGAACAAGACAAGGCCATATAGTAAAATAGGATCAAAGAGCAATCTAATGATTCATAACAAGTCAGAGAACGATTTCAAATGATACAGCTTACGACTATATCCCCATCTTAGCCTAACATTTGTATTCCGGTCTTCTGAATATGTTAGAACAAATATCTAATCTAAAAATCTTAGAACATGTACAAAAATTTAGAATACAAACTCTGATTTTCGTAGAACATGTACAAAAGTTTAGAATATAAACTCTGATATTCGTAGAACACTAGAAAACGTATTCTAATAATATTAGACGAAATTTTATCCATAAAAAAATCAACTTTTTTTCCACTAAATCACCAATTTTTTTTTTATAAATCATCTATAATCTTGTATATATATATACATGTTTTTTTTGGTAAAATCATTCAAAATGCTTAAAATAGAGAGTAAGGGTATTTTAGTCTAAAATGACATTCTAAAAAAAAAGTGTATATGGTCAAACTTTTTTTTAGAGCTTCTTTATTATAAATAGAAAGAAGTTCAAAAATAATTAATTGTGCGAGACAAATAAATAAATAAAACAGTCTTGAACTGATCAATTCTGAAGTGTATTATTGTGGAAGCTTAATGTTTCTCTTACATTAGACATGTATTATTTACAAACGCAAGAGCCATCCACGCAATCGTAGATAAGCTTTTTTTTAATAAATATACAGTAGAGAACACAACCACCTGCGCGACTACAATGTTTACTAAATATGCTATTAACGTTGTAAGAGCTAACGTCGTCATTAGATTCCATCAAACGTCTCACTGATTCCACCTTCTTAATTGTATCTCCGTGTACAATACCTGCAAAATACTTTTGTAAGTAACTGATGACTATCCCAAAAAAATAACAGGTGCAATTAATGAAGAAAATTTAAATTAAATTCAATATAGAAAAGAAAACTAAAAGACTAGCTCACATAAGTTGAGAAGAACTACAATCATTGAAAAGACTACAATAGACTTCATGATTCCCATTTCCTTCAAGTAATTAATTTGATGTTGTTATCTTACTTTTATACATGCCTATATATTATATAGTGCCCACTTCTTCTTTTGTTTAAGAATTCCCTCTTTTTAAGAAAACAGTTCTTATTTTCAAACAAAAGATTCGTTACCTTCTTTATTTTCTTTTTTTTTGAACATCAAAAGATTCTTTACCTAATCAGTAACTTTGATTAACACTTAATTCTTAGATTTTCATAGAATTGTGGATGTAAAGTCGAGTCCATTATTTAGCAAAAAAGAATTAAAAAATCTAGTTCATTAACTGTAACAATTTGACTCGCAGCTATTCTTTGAATACAAGAAAAAAAATTGACCATAGTTATAAAATAAGAACATTGACCAAGTTTTAATATAATAGGAAATTACTAAAAGAAGATTCAATATTAGGAGAGTATATTCAACAAGAATAAACGTTGATGCACGATTTGATTTAAATTAATCATTATCCTGTGGTGGATAATGCAGGCACAGTTAGATCGTTGAATAACCTAGATTGATCTTCATTGAAAAAGTGATGAAGAGATAAATGACATTCTAGAGATCACATATATGTACTTCTTTGGAAACATAATTATATATATACACTTTGAAAGCCCTATTATTTTCGTGGTTACAAAAAAAAAAAAATCCTAAATTCATGTAGATGTAGTAATATAAAAAATTAAGAATCAATGGTCAACTAATCATCGGGCTACACAGCAAAAAATACACGAATATGTCATGTTATCTTTATAGCATATCTAGAAAATATTGAGAATTTTCTTATCAATCGAAGGGAAATTACACTATAATTATTAAAAAAAACAATTTCAATTTTTTTTTTTTAATACTGTTCTAAAATGAATTATGTCATTAACTAAATATGGTTTGAAATTACACTATCATTATTATACGTCTACTAAAAAAAATAATTTCAATTTTTTTTGAAATACTGTTCTAAAATGATTTATGGCATAACTATATATGGTTTACCATAGAACTAAAGGATTGAAAGATATTAGCAAATTTTATTTTTGTAAGAACTAATACATCCATTTGCAACGTGAGACCACCATTATCCATAGGCTCTTAGCCAAATCTTAAGTTAAGATTTGTGAAGAAAAAGCTTAAATATAAATCTAAAAGCTCTTATATAAGAGCTCTTTCTTCACAAATCTTAGCTTAAGATTTGGCTAAGATTCATCTAAGAGCCCATGGATAAGGGTGCTCTGAGAGAGTTAAAATGTGAAAAGAAAAAAATTGTAGTAAGCCCTTTTTGCAATAATATTTTGTTTTTTTTGTACCATCAATTCAATTAATAAAAAGTAAGTAAGTTTCGGAGCTACTTTATTATGTCACCGTATTCCTCCGCTTCCTCCGACAGTCTTCCGCTAGGGTTTACGGTTTATTTAAGAAATTACCAATCTCAAACTTCTTTATTCTATTCTGGAGTAATCCTCAATAACTTCCCAGAAAATTGCGCCAGTAGGGCCTTTTTACTTGTTATTATCTCTTCGAAATCGATATGGGCACGAAGTGATAACAGAGTCACTATTTTGAGTGACACCTCTCAATGTTTGTGATGTCTTCTAAAAGGTTTCTAATTGTTGTATGTTCTCTGTTGCTGTTTCCAGTTTAATCCTCACTATGCTATTATGAGTGCTAATAGATTTACATTCTTAATATGCAGAAAGTCAGACTTCTGCGGAGATTCTTCTATAATGAAATTGAGGCCAAAGGTAAAACATAACAAAAGGTTTCATTTTTTAGACGGTTATTACATGTTTCTCTTGCCAACGATTAAAGTATTATAATTGTTTTTATGTGATAGATAATATTCATTCCTTCTCTGTTAACAACTAATTCGAAGCTAACTTAATATATTTCATCAATTGCTGCTGTATTCAATAGTGATCTTCTTCATCCATCATTTGAGGATCTTTTAGCCTTTTGCTTCTGAAATTATACATTATGATGTTCCAGGCAATCTTGATCTGTGTCTCTGGACGTTGTTCATTGCTTATGTGCAGGTTTCAATCCATAGTTGCAAAGCATATAATCTAGGAATTTTGATCGGCAATGAAACAATGCAAAGCCCTATAAACTTGATAGTATGCTTAAGTGGATTCTGGTTTTTGTTGCAATATTTCATTATAAGAGATTTTAGTCTTACTACTTAATCAATTTTGAATCTTGCTAGAATATCTTTATAGGTATTTTAAATGCTCAGTTTGACGAATGACACAAGCAGACCAAATGTGAGAAACCAGAGTCCTGACATGAACATGCTCTCCTGCTCTAGTTAGACCAGCAATTGAGGATTCTTTAGCTTTGATCACATATTATTTTGTAGAATTTTCAGAAAGAAGATTGTTTTTTGGCTTTCTCATGCTAAAGTTTGTGCCTTTACCTTTAATGATAAACTTTACTTGAATATTTGTGTGATGGGGTTTTGACCAGGGCAAGTCAAATGTTTCGTGATTATGTGTTTTCCGTACTGTTCAAAGTATCATTATACTATCTAAGAAACTTGATAAAGATGCCTTTGTTTGTTTAAGAAACCATGGATGATAAGCAACTGATTTCATACCTGGCTAGAACGTTAACATTACAACTCGATGTTAATATGGACAAGGGCTAAGGAAAGAAGGATGAACTCAGGTTTGGTTAAGGCTGGCCAGACTGGGCCATGGGTATGAAGAAAGTGGACCAATTGAGAAAAGAATGCTATGATGGATGGTGTATGATCCCAACGCTGCACAAAACAGGGAAGAAATAACTTGAGGTAAGCGTTGTAGTATTCAGTTTAAAATGGTTTCTATAGTTAACAGAATTTTGTCAAATGTGATTTTGTTATTTGCTTGATCGTTGCTACAAACTTTGAGGCCTTCCTTGGATTATAATGTATAGTATTTTCTGCCACATATTCCAATCTTGAAGAAGTTTTTATGGTCTATATTAGGTTATTTTCTATGTGTTGCTACTCATTGATGTAGATTTTAGCTTCCTCTTGATTCTATAAAGAAGAAAGGATCACAACGGCTATTACTTACCAATTAGTGTACTTTTGATTGAAAATGCGTATGTAGTGTAATCATCTATAGATCTTCTTGCGTCCTATATGAAAGTTACATTGTTGTTCGAACAAAGATCAAAATTGAGAGACCTCACTGACGTTTCAAAACTCAATCTTTGCTTGTTCACTAACACTATCTTACTGTTACTTATCATTGGTATTTTGAAAACTTTCCTCCTGTAGAAAACCAAGTCTATTGGTGCAAGCTGGTCAAGGAGGCATTGGAGTCATATGCCGACTGATGCAGCTCGATGAGAATAATTCACCTTCTGATTCCTCCACCTTTTTCTTTGTAATCAAAGTTATTTATCTGTTTTTCATGTCAACGAGTTTTGCAGCACTTAAACCTGAGTAATGTCTTAATCTCAAATAGAAATAATATTAATGATTGGGTAACTAATCAATGATATGTCTTGTTATGCTTCTGTCTCAGATAGGCACTTCGAATATGAAGTTGAATTTGTTCAAAACTCGATCCATTTTGATAGAACGTGGAAAAATAAATCAAATCAAAAATAATTAAATAGTAATTTAAAACACTATGAAAAAGGTATCTCACGGGTGAAAATTTGAAAATTTACATTTCAGAAAAGTTACTCACAGTTACCAGAATAAGAAATAGTAGCTAAGCAATTAAATGGCCGAGAGTGAGGATTTCCCGATTACAGTAAATAAGTAGTTGGTAAACAATAAAAGAACTTGGACAACAGAGTAAGAAGCGTTTACAGAAAAGAAAAGAAAGGGAAACAGAGTAAGCAAAGAAAAAAAACAGAGAAGAAGAACACTGGAAATCAAGATCCAGATATTCAGGTACGCTTTTTACTTGGAACATCAAACGCCTCCATCCACTTATAGGTTAGAAAACTTACTCTTGGAATAGATGGATACTGAGAATGCTAACACTGGTAGCCAAACTGAAGAACAATGTAGCTTCTTAACCTTGAGTAACCGTTCCCGTTTACCGGGAAAACTCCCGTTTCTACCGGATAGAAAGAAGAGAATGTTGCCAACTCTATGGAAGAGATTATTTGCATGGATTTCAAGGAAACCTTTGGATGATGGAGAAGAGAACAAATACTCTTCTTATTGGAAGTATATTGAATGGGTTCTTGTGGCTGCAATCACTGCCGTGATATTCACAACCATTTCGGTTCGTTCCTTGCGCGGCAAGCTAGTTTTGGGAATGTCTTTGTTGAAGTCCGAGGTGTTTCTACTAATGGCAATAGGTTGTAGACTTGTTAGTGCAGTTGTGGTTGGAATCATTGTTAGAGTTCTCCACAAGCTGTTTCGATACTCTGATGGATTTCTCTATGTTGTGTACAAAGTACAAGGTATTTTCAAATGGACTGTTATTGCATGGATCCTTTTAGCAGCATGGGAGATTATCTATGGGGAGCTACAGGGGATTTTGGATAGTAAGGTGATGACAATGATTGAGAAGGTTTTGATAGATGGCGGGATAGTTCTCTCTCTGTGGTTTGTGAAGTCTATCTTGGTGATGTCGTTGGCTTCTTGGTTTTACATGCATACATATTATGAGAAGGTATCAGATTCTCTGTTTTATAGATATGTGGTTGAAGCTCTCATGGGTCTTCCACTAATTGAATACAGAAGATACTTGCCTATCGAGACAAGTGAAGCTTTAAGAGATCTACATAAGCTTAATCCAAAAGATTTATCATCATGGCATATGAAGCAAATGATGATTGAGAAAAAGGAAGGCATAGCACTTAGAATAAAAACCGAAGATGAAGCAAAAAGAGAGGCTGAAAGGATCTTTCAAAATGTGGCAAAACCATCATCTCAGTAAGTCTCACATTTGTCTTTATCATGTTTTATGTGTTCGAAAACTCATTCAAAAAAAATTTCAGGTTCATTGATTTGGAAGATCTCAAACGATTTCTTCCAACAGATGAAGCTCTAAAGACATTGAACATCTTCCGATCAACCTATGAAGACGATGTAAACATCCAAATCAGCTTGGTATTTCTACAAGAATGGATGGTAAGACTTCATTATCTAGTTCAAATTCAACTTAGGAACAACCTTCGATATAACCATAATATATTACTTTTCAGGTGCACTCTTTCAAACGAGATAGGTCCCTTCTCTTGTCGCTGAGAGACATGGACAATGCGTCCAAGATAATTGGGACCATCTTCAACATATTGTTTGGGGGTTTGCTAGTAGCAATCTCCATCCCACTACTGGAATTAGGCGGAGTAAAATATTTGGCGTCCATAGGCACAAGCGCCTTCATATTAACATTTTTGTTTGGGCAGACTTGGAAGGATCATTACTCCGCGATACAATTACTCTACATCAGACATCCTTTTGATGTCGGCGACGAGGTTGAAATCGAAGAAAAGGAGGTAAACGAATAGTTTTACTAACTTTGTTTTCTATATACTTATCATTGTTTAACAGGAAATTGGTTTGTTGGTGTAGATGGTTGTGGAGAAACTGAATGTGCTATCCACAGATTTCGTAGGACGAGACAACAAAAAGAGGACAATGGGAAATGCCGGTATATGCGATAAGCTGGTGACTAATAATACCCGCAGTGAACTCCCAGCTTGGACAACAGAGAACTTAGTTTGAGTTTGTATGAAATCACTTTTCAGTTCTTGCTTCCTTAGTGGATTGTTCGGTAGAAGTCTATTTCAGTTTGAACTTACTTTGTTTGTAGCAGATGGATGCTTTGTAATGGTTTCAAGATGAATGCTTTGTAATGGTTTTTGTTAGTGTTCTTTTCTTATCACCCTTTCTACCATAGAGCTGTTAGACTGTGTATACTTCCAGGTTTTCTCCAAGAGAGATTGTTAGATAGAAATCAGAAGTGGGAGAAAATGGTAAACCTTCATTTAAATGATAATTATATACAAACTGTACAAGAATGATAACCCAATGTGTAGTGAGAGGTTTGATGAAACTAGGGAAGAAGCACCATACATGTGAGTGAAGAAAAACTCTGCCTCAGTAACAGCTCATGTGTCGCAGTCAATGCAAACATTCTATTACCATAGATCTTTGTTCTTCCTCATCCGAATACAACCATTGTGAAGCATTTAGCTATAGTCAACCGCTTAAAAGGAGGAAGCTGATCAAATCCATAGATTCCAGCAGACGGATATAGTTCACCTCTAGATAGGCCGGTTATAGGAAGATCGACAATCGGTTAGCCGACTTGAGAAACTCCACCACGGAGCAATCAGTAATCAGTAACCTGAACGAGTTGAGTAAGAGTTAACCAGTATAATCAAACCAAAGAGTCACCCCTGCAGCAGGAACTGACGAACAAGGTTCTCATAAGCTGGGAGGATTAGTATGATTAGAAGCCAGTTCCAGTGTTGTAGAACTGGATCTATAAAGTCAGAGACGCGGAGGTGTAGATAATGTTCTGCTACTGGAAAAAAACCACGCAGGAGTAAGGCAGTAGAGAACCAAGGATCATGCCACACACGTACTTGCTCTCTATTTCCCACCAACCAACCTACTCCTTTCCCAAGAACTCTTCTTCGGCTGTTAAACCATGAGAAGGATTAGATGGTAAGTGACACTCCATGAAGTAGAAATGAGAACCCGAGCTAGAAGGGATTGCCTTTAGCATTCTCCAACAAAGTTTGCAAGGAGGGCCTCATTGAAGTTTTCAAAGTCCCTAAAACTGACTGCATTCTTTGGAGCCGTTAGCTTTGGCCACACAACACAACTCATTTTTTTTTATCTTGTCCGGTTTGTCATCCCACCAACATCTAGAGAGGAACGATTGAATTCTCAACTTTTCCCATTGAACAAATTCTTCTTTAACGAAAACCAACTCCACAATCACAGTCTGGCTTCCAGCTTCGTAAAAACCATAACCAAAAGTGAATTCCAACAATGCGGTGGAAAGTAAGAGAAAAATCGAGCTCAATTGAGGAGCTGAGAAGAAGTAGACAGATATCAGAAATCAGATTTCGAACCGAAGAGAAACCTGGAATTGATAGAAGAATATTGATCAAATCTGGAATGGGAGCATCAGATTAATCAAACTGAGATCGAACCAGAAACTAGTAATGATCATATACAGAGTTATAGCTTAAACTTCGCCTCAAATCCTCATCTAACGACCAGAGTACCAGACTCCACCGGATTGACTCTACTATACTACCATCAGAAAATCGAGGCCGACGGCGATCAAAGTCGTCCCTCTCTCTCTCTCTAGATCTAACTGGGCTCAATTATTATTTCTTTCATGGGCTTTTTTTTGTTAACATGTCCAATCATTTTCTTCTTTTTTTTCTATGGCCTTTCCGCTTAATTAAACGTTTTATGGTAATATATATTATAGTTTTTGTTTAACAACAACAATTATACGAGGTTGAATGTTTTACATTTGTATTGTTAAATTAAAATTCTTTGTTTGTAGTTGGTAATTGTATATTTGTATCAATCAATATACTCGGCGACTCGGCGTCACTTTTTTGGTTTTATATAAATGTTTTTCATATTTTGCTTGCTTTTATTTTGCTAATTTTATATTAGTTATAGTATATTGATAATTTTGCATAAGCAAAATAAATTATCATTAGATTCATTCCGAACTTAATTTGATTATTTTATTTCATATAACTCTAATACTTTTAGAGTTGAAATTGAATCTGAATATTTCTTCTAGGTTGAAATTAAACTAGATTTCACCTCTGGATCTTGATTTAAAATGTGAATGTGAATATTTCTTCTAAGTTGAAGTTGAACTAGATAATTGAAAAGATAGCCATCCGAAATCAAGACCCATAGGTGAATATGTTGGTAGATTCTTGCTTGGTGCAAGAGAAGAAACAAATTATGGTACATCCTCCCTCCACATCTCCATTTAGACCAGAATTTGTTTAAGATTTATAATTACGGAATTTACCAATTATTCGCATAATCGAATATGTTATGAACATATATTTAGCATATAATCATACCAAAATCAATCCGTACGTGGAGTCTATATTTTTCATTTTAGAATCCAAATGAAAATATTGCGTGCACAATCTATTATTCGTTAATTTCAAAATTGCTTGCGGAATCAAATTTTCAAATATTTAGAGGTGTCAAACCATTTTTAAATGTCTACACTATTTTTAAATATTCCAAACTAAAATCTTTATTTTTTTTATTTTAGTTTATAATATTATGAATTTCTATAAACAAATTATATAAAAATTAAATATAACTATTCAAATAGTTATAAGGATCAAAACTCATTTCATCATATAATACATTAGATTTAACCCGCCACCTATTATAAATATTTTAAAAAATAATCAAATTAAAATATTTAAAATAAATGTATGAAATCAAATATAAATATTCAAATTCTGATCCGTTACTCAGTCGGAATTTTTGTTGAATTTATTTTTATAGAAAAGAAATATATTATTCAAGTATGAATTTTTGACTCGTTTAATTGTTTCCTAATAGATTGAACAATTTATATGTGCTTTTCAAAATTCAAATCTTGGCATATGCGAAAAAATTACTTTTTTTTATTATGTGGATGATATGATGATTTATTTATTTCATATAAATATAATCATATAAAGATGGGAGGTGAAGTATAATGATTAATAACAAATTAATATGGTAAATTAGATTTCAAATCTTATATGTTCATTTTGATTGGTCATTCTTTTTAAAAAAAAATTAATAACTGATTTTTGTTTTATAATTTAGACATAAATTAGTATTTTACTTGTTTATCCTTAATGAATTGAATTAATTTATTCTTTAAAATTTTATCTCTAATGGCATTTTCATATAATAGCTTATAAAAAATAAAGTTAGTTCTCAAATGTACTCCCCAAATAATAATATAGGATATATATAAATAGAAAGAAGCCCAAAGACAATTAATTGTGCTCTTGATCTGAATTCTGAAGTGTATTATTGTGGAAGCTTAATGTTTCTCTTACATTAGACCTGGATTATTTACAAACGCAAGAGCCATTCACGCAATCGTAGGTAAGCTTTTTTTTAATAAATATACAGTAGAGAACACAACCACCTGCGCGACTACAATGTTTACTAAATATGCTATTAACGTTGTAAGAGCTAACGTCGTCATTAGATTCCATCAAACGTCTCACTGATTCCACCTTCTTAATTGTATCTCCGTGTACAATACCTGCAAAATACTTTTGTAAGTAACTGACGACTATCCCAAAAAAATAACAGGTGCAATTAATGAAGAAAATTTAAATTAAATTCAATATAGAAAAAAACTAAAAGACTAGCTCACATAAGTTGAGAAGAACTACAATCATTGAAAAGACTACAATAGACTTCATGATTCCCATTTCCTTCAAGTAATTAATTAATTTGATGTTGTTATCTTACTTTTACACATGCCTATATATTATATAGTGCCCACTTCTTCTTTTGTTTAAGAATTCCCTCTTTTTAAGAAAACAGTTCTTATTTTCAAACAAAAGATTCGTTACCTTCTTTATTTTCTTTTTTTTTGAACATCAAAAGATTCTTTACCTAATCAGTAACTTTGATTAACACTTAATTCTTAGATTTTCATAGAATTGTGGATGTAAAGTCGAGTCCATTATTTAGCAAAATAGAATTAAAAAATCTAGTCCATTAACTGTAACAATTTGACTCATAGCTATTCTTTGAATACAAGAAAAAAAAAATTGACCATAGTCCATAGTTTTATAAAATAAGAACATTGACCAAGTTTTAATATAATAGGAAATTACTAAAAGAAGATTCAATATTAGGAGAGTATATTCAACAAGAATAAGCGTTGATGCACGATTTGATTTAAATTAATCATTATCCTGTGGTTGATAATGCAGGCACAGTTAGATCGTTAAATACTCTATAATGATCGTAATTGTAAAAGTGATGAAGAGACAATGACATTCTAGAGATCACATATGTACTTCTCAAATTTTCTGTTTCGGGTTTAGGGTTCCGGTTTACCCAAGGTCGAGTCTGTAACAGTGTATCACCCTGTACATTTCTCATAATTAGCGAGAGTAAGTTAAAAACCCTTCAGTTTGGTTTTCTCTTTTCTAAATACTAGTCAAAATCCTATGTTATTCGTTTAGTCATTTGTTTTTGGATTTGAGAATCCAAATTATGTTTTAAATGAATTTGTATGGAATTGAAAGAGAAAAATAGAAGGATTCAAATTCATGGGTAAACACATGTTATTTCAAAATCTATATATCTTGATTTCATAATTAATAGAGATTTCCAAATCCTCTATGGATTTACAAATTAGTTATATTTCTGGAAAATATATAGAATTATTAATTTATGATCTTTTGAGAATTTGTATATGAGATTTTTAAAATATTATTATTTTCTAATGGTGTTAATTATTACATTGGCCTAAATCGACACTGACTAAATTTATTAATTTATAATATTTATAAATTTATATCAAATATTTATTAGTGAGAGTAAGTTAAAACCCTTCAGTTTGGTTTTGAGTTGATTTTCTAATTACACTGTTTCAGTTCAACACATATCAGCTAACTGGATTGGACACTTAGTTTTCCAATGATGAATACCGAACCGGTAATGTAGGCCATTTCCTACTCGTCACTCTGGTCGTCAATTACAACAAAGAGGGTTTAGTTTATTATTAAAGAGCGCGGGAAAGAGAGAAAAAAACTTCGAGATCACAAATTCACTAAAAACGAAGCAAGATGGTAGAAGAAGAAGAAGAAGAAGATAATAATGGAAAATTACGTGAGGATTGTTGGTGTCGAGACGAGGCCTTTTTGTATTTTATCAGAATGAGGCCTTGATTGGTTCTTCCGCTAGCACCCGCCTAGCGGTTGTTAGCGGTCGGTTGCGGTTGTTAGCGGTTGGTACCAACCACAGAAATCGCTCTACACCGCTTCGAACCGCTCGCAATCGCTGGATTTCAAAAGCTCCTTCCCGCAAGCGTTTGCGGTTGCGGGCGGTTGCGGTTGGCTTAAAAAAGGAAAGAAACTAAAAAAAAAATAAAAAAAAATAAAATATATATTATTATATCTTATTTATATTCACGTTAATTATAAAAAAATAATAATTATCTAACTTTAATTTTCTAATATTAATAATTATTTTTGTTTTCAATATAAAAATTTATTTGAATAATTATTTATGGTTTTTAATCATTAATCATGTTGAAAAATTTTATACTTTTCATAATCATAGTTTCTGGTGTTTTATAATTTTTTATAATCATATATTAAATTTATTTTGATAAACTTTGGTTTAACCGCTATCGTACCCGCTGATCAACCAGTCGAAAATCTCCTGCAAACGCACCCGTTTTCAACCGCTAAACCAGTCGGTCAAAACGCTAAATAACGCTTGAAACCGCAACCGCCCGCTTCCGCAAACTCCCACAACCGCAACCGTAACCGCTGCGTTTAAACCAGTCAAGCCCTGAGTATTTCCGTCACTTACTAAGATTTCTATTTCTGGAAAATAGTTTCTATTTAGGGAATGTTTTCTCTCTCTCTCTTTCTTTTGCTTCCCTTCTACGTTTTTTCTTTTCTTTTCAATATTTGTTTATTATATACAAATTTTATCAGAATGAGTATGACCAATATTGCCGTACACTAGTAGTCTGCTAGGCCTTTTCACATATTCCACCACTTACTTGGGCTAGGCCTGAGTTAGGCAAAACAAAAAAAGTGAGGAAAAACAAATATCTCTATGCATAAAGCTCTGGCTCTCTATCTATGTACATATTCTGATGTGTCAATGATTGAAATCTGTGTGATATGATAGCCATCTGTCCAAAAATGTTTCGACAAAACTATGGATTAGATTCCTTTCCCTACTCTTTAACAATTGCTAGTAGCAAAACTCAAAAAGGTCGCATCTAAATCACTACCATCTGTTATATGAAACAATGTATCTGATTAATTGAGTATAGATAAGATAAACCAACAGTTACAAGATTACAACACACCATGGATAAACAACCGTATTGGTCTTTTCTTATAGTTCGTCATGTTGTTGTGAAGTAATGTCACCTGGCATTACAATGGGGTTTGGTTGGTCAGTGGTTATAACAGATAATACTTGAATCGAGGAAAGACGCAAGAGTTGAAGAAGCGATAGGGGTGAAGAAACTAAACCTGAAACAACATCCTTGAAGAAAAACTTTATCTCTCTTTCAGCTGATGATGTTGAATCCGAACCGTGCACGCAGTTCTTTTGTGAGTTCTTACCACATAATGCTCTGATGCTGCAAGAACAAGACAAGGTCATATAGTAGATAGAATCAAAGAGCAACTAATGATTCATAACAAGTCAGAGAACGATTTCAAATGATACAGCTTACGACTATATCCACATCTTAGCCTCACATTTGAGTTTGCTAAGTCAAGAAATACAAGAGAATCAAGTAAACCATAAAAAGAAAGTGTTTTGGGATAAATATCAAACCTGTGAGGGTGAGATATCTTAGCCCTTTGCGCATCTGTTGGCCCGATTAAACCACGCCAATCAGAAACCGCGTTTCGCTTCTCCAATACCATCACCAACACCGGACCACTAGTTTCAAAGATACAGTTCACACACATTAGCAAACGCAGACATAGCAGAGATTGCGGAAATGTTATAAGGTAAGCACTAAACAGAACTTACCAACCTTGTCATGTATGTAACAAGATCAGGAAAAAAGCTCCTTGATGAGTGCTCGTCGTAAAACGCAGAAGCTGTGTCCTTGTCCAGCTGAGTAAGCATCTCCTTGACGATATTGAAACTGGCCTCAACGATAATCCTTTTAATTTCGTCAGTGTAGTTACCAGAGACTCCATCTGGCTTTATCATAGCCAATGTTCTCTCTTCACTACTTGCTTCATTACCTAAACACCTAACATTTTTAGCACATCAACATGGATTACCGAAAAATTCAAACTAACCCTAATCGCTAAGCAACTACGAGATTCATCTGGGAAGTAGTAATTTAGATTCAGATCCATTTCAATTGAGTTAACAGACAAACTGATAAGTACGATTATTCATACGAAGGAAACCAATATAAACCCTAGGTTTTCTCGCTCACCTGACCGGCGACAAGGAGACAGAGACGAGAAGGAGGAGGAACATTAGTTGATATGTGAATCCTGACATTGACTTGATCGGAGACCAAAAATTCGGTGACTATCAGACGAATTAGGACGATGTAACTCCGAGATTATGAAAGTCGGAGGAAAATTGTGGTCGGAGAAGCTCTAGTGTCGAGTTTGCTCCTCCAGCCGGGAAAAAATTCTGAAACGCGCGTTTTGTATTTTCACCTAAAACGGTTAAAACGCGCGTATAACGTCGACTTTGTTCGGTTGAAAGGGCTAAACCCCAATCTTATACAATCAAGCCAACTACGTTTGGGCCAATCAGTATTTTTTTTAATTTAGGCCAATTAACATTTTTCTAAAAATCAAACTACTTTTTATCATTCATATCTATGAACAAACCATATACAGATGTAGTTTTTTTTTTTTTGTTTTTTTTTTGTTCACATCAGAAGTGTAGTTAATAAAAGTTAAGAATCTAGATTTCAAAAACTTGATTGCCGCTGAAGGAACAAATCGAAATAGTTGTGATTATCACGACAATGATTGCAGTCACAGGAATCCATTCAATGTATTTCCAATAAACAGAGTCTTTTTGATTTTATACATCGTTAGATTTGTTTTCATCTAACAATTTCTTTGAAACCCTTGCAAACAACCTCTTTTATAGACTTGGCATAACTCTCTTCTTTTTGTCTGGTGGAAATGGAAGCTTTTTCGATAAACGGGAAAAGTTCCTCAAAATTAAAATCGATAGTGTCCTTCAAGTTGGTTTCCAATTGTATTAACATTTTCAATCTCTATCACTATTATCCACAAACTATTCAAAACCACTTCAATGATTCCAAGAAGAAATATTATGACCTAAGTGGAAGAATGGCTTGTTCCAAAAAGTAATGTACTTTAATTCGTTTCTTCTTTTGCACCAAAGATTAGATCCTTTTGCACCAAGCAAGAATTTACCAACATATTCACCTCTAGATCTTGATTTCGAGTGTCTATCATTTCAGTTATCTAGATCAACTTCAACTTAGAAGAAATATTCACATTCGATTGTTCAACTTCAACTTAGAAGAAATATTCGCATTCAACTTCAATTTCAACTGCAAAATTATTAGAGATATATGAAATATTTTTGAAAAAATCAAATTAAGTTTATAATGAATCTAATGATAATTCCTTTTGCTTATACAACTCTATCAATATACTATAATTAATATAAAATAAGCAAAATATAAGCAAAACATAAGAAAAAGTGAAGAAAATAATCAAATAAAAACAAAAAAGTGACGCCAAGTATATCGATCGATACAATTACCAACTACAACAAAGAATATAACAATACAAATATAAAGCATTCAAACTCGTATAGTTGTTGTTGTTAAACAAAAACTATGATATATATTACTTGAGAGTTTTTCTCTTCCTTCTGTATATACATTATCTTAGTTACTTTTGATGATTTACATTATCTTAGTTATGTATGTATAAGTTTATAAAATCATTAGACTATATATTTACGGCGGTTAGTTTTCTCACAGTGGGTTGTGAAGTCTGTCATGGTTATGTCATTGGCGTCATGATATTACATGCGTACCTATAGTGAGAAGGTATCAGGTTCTCTATTTTATATATATGTGGTTGAAACTCTCATGGGTCTTCCATTGATTAAATACAGAAGATATTTACCTATCGACAAGTGAAGCTTTAAGAGACCTACTTAAGTTTTTTTTATCATCATGGCATATGAAGCAAATGATGATTGAGAAAGAGGAAGGCATACCACTTAAAATAAAAACCAAAGATGAAGCAAAAAGAGAGGCTGAAAGGATCTTTCAAAATGTGGAAAATCCATCATATTAGTAAGTCTCACATTTGTCTTTATCATGTTTTTGTGTTTGAAAACTCATGGTTCACAAAAAAATTCAGGTTCATTGATTTGGAAGATCTCAATTGATTTCTTCTAGAGGATGAAGTTTTGAAAACATTGAACATATTCCAAACCACATATGAGGATGATGTAAACATCCAAATCAGCTTGGTATTTCTAAAAAAAAATTGATGGTAAAGCTTCAACTTTAACTTAGGCATAACCTTCAATATAATCATGATATTATATTTTTCACGTGCACACTTTCAAAAGAAACATGTCCCTTTTCTTATCGCTTAAAGACACACACGATGAGATAATTGGGACCATCTTTAACATAGTGTTTGGGTGTCTAATAGTAACATTTACGATCCCACTACTGGAATTAAGCGGAGTAACATATTTGGCGTTCATAGGCACACACTCCTTCATATTAACATTTTTGTTTATGTAGACTTGGAAGGATCATTATTCCAGGATGCAATTACTCTATATCAGGCATCCGTTTGATGTCAACGACGAAGTTGAAATCGAAGATAATCAGGATAAACAGTAGGGCCGACTCTGAACAAAACTAAGTGAAACATTGGTTTTGGATCCTCGAACTTTTTTTGAAATCTATAACATAAACTTTTTTGCCAATAGACCCTTAAATTATTTAATTTTATAATAAAAGGCTCCCAATTTTTTAAATCTATAGAAATAACCTTACATTTGATTTTTTAGTTTTGGCCCCGGAAATTTCAATGCCGGCTGTTAACATAAACATATAGTTTTCTAACTTTGTTTTTTATATACTTAACCTGAAATTGGTTTTGTGGTGTTGCCACTAGATAGTTGTGGAGGAATTAAACGTGATATAATCCACCGATTGTCTAGGACGAGACATAAGAAGCAGACAATAGGCAATGCCGGATAAGCTGGTGACTACAAAATTTTAATACGTCTTTCTCTAGATCTTATTGGGCTCAATTATGATCTCTCATGGGCTTTTTGTTAACAAGTCGACTCTCTCTTTGCCAACTGATAGTTTAGTAACTCCAATACTTTTCTTCTTTTTCTGGCCAAAAACGGTATATTTCCCTACGAGAAGTATCGCATCATAACAGATAGAGCCCAAACTTTAACTACGGTTTATATGTCTCTGAAAACAATGTTTTATGCCTATTTCTCCCCGAAACATAAATTCAATAGCTAAATCTCCCCGAATTAATACTTCGAGATCTATTAACCCACATGTTTGGGTTTCGTCGGTTATTGTGTACTTAACCGTTTATAACCAAAGAAAACCTAATTTTGACCCGATTAAACACACAAACCCAAACCCCTTCTTCTTCTTCTTTCCTCTCCTTCTTCTCTTCTTCACGCTATTTCAGAATCTGGTTTTATTTTTTGTCAAAATTGGAATTTGGCTTTTCTTCTTGTGATTAATCCACTTATGATTAACATTACTGTTCAATTGATATTCAAAAACAGAGAAATTATGCTCCATGGAAACTTCGTCGTTCCCGCCGCCGTCGCCGTAAAACCAGTCCTCGTCGAAGAATTAGCTCTTTCACCACCACCACGATCTTTACCTTTACCATAACCGCGACTTCCCACTTCTCCTTGCGATCAAGCCAATGATGATACTTCTTATCATCTTCTTCCTCAACAAAGCTAGATCTTTTCACTTTACTCTTCTTCTTCTTCCCATCCATGTTCAGTGTATTCACCTTCACCACATCGAATCCATAAAAAACAGAGTCTGAAGAAGAGATGGATATGGTTAATCTCAAATTTGCATCCCATATCGATTTGGTTAATCTCATCAATCTCAGAAATCTTCATAGCGAAGAAGAGAGACTAATCAAAGCTTATCAATTTCAAAGACCCCATTGATTTCATCAACCAAAAGTTAGTCTTTCGGTAATGTTTTTAAACGAAGAGAATCCAAGTGATGTCACATTGATGGTATCGAGACCCCAAATATTTTTAAGTGAAGAAGAAGAAGAAATCGGATCGGATCGGGTCGTTAATGGGTCAGCCGGGTTTGGGTTAATTTTTGATAATTTCGGTTTAGTTTTGGTTAAAGTTTGTTTTAAAATGGTTAACACTGAATTGGTGTACATTAAACCGACGAAACCCAGACATGTGGGTTAATAGATCTCGAAGTATTAATTCGGGGAGATTTAGCTATTGAATTTATGTTTCGGGGAGAAATAGGCATAAAACATTGTTTTCAGAGACATATAAAGCGTGGTTAAAGTTTGGACTCTATCTGTTATGATGCGATACTTCTCGTGGGGAAATAGACCGTTTTTCCCTTTCGGGACCCGTTTAATTAAACGCTTATGGTTAGTTCAACTAATCTAGTCTAATTAAAAAATCCAACTGTTATACTGTCTTTTACCCCTGTTTCCATTTCTTTAATTTACTGTCTTCCAGAAAACTTCTTCAACTATACTGTAAATCTGTAATAAAGAATACGTATTGAAAATTACTCCAATCAAAGACGAATGTTGATTATGTAGTAGACTAACAAGTGTGATTAGATGAAGCTATACTAAACGTATAAACAAAACTAATTATGAACAGTACTAAGAAAAATGGACGGTGGAAGAGAGAGGACATGACCGTTAGAGTGGACGGATTCATGAGCCGGAATTCACAAAGACGTCTTATTCGTGTAGCATTCAACGTAAAGATCTATCCAAAATCTCGTAATTTGTTTTTATTTTATTTTATAGTATTATTAACCAATAAATTGATATTGACCTGTATTATAATTTATTTGGCTTCGTTGACAAAAATGAAAAATCTTGACTTCTTGAAATTCTTGTTCTGATACCAAAACCACATGGATGTTGTAGCTGGACGGTGCAAATACTTGGTATACTATTATTTAAATGGATGGTAAAACAGTTTGGTATTATAATGCATAGCTTACGAATTATACTCTGGGATTTTATTAGCGTTAAAGCATATATACGTAGATATAAACATTTCTTATACTAGGGAATTGGGAAAATAATTGATTTTGAGGATTATTTTTGTTCACATCGCCTTCAAAATCATTGCCAATATATATAAGTTGAGAATGAAACCGATATTATGTTCTGAAAATATATCTTTATGAAATTTATAGAAACCAAGAATGGGTCTTCGATGTTTTTTTTTTTGTATTTATATATTTCGGGCTGAAACTAGTCTAACTTCTAAAGCATAAATTTTGCAAATTTTTTTAATTGTATTTTTGCAATTTAAAATATTCATTTGACCAACCATGAATCCATGCTTTAAATCAAAGTAGAAGAATTGGAAATTTGATCCTCGATTTATATGAATCATCATTCAACCACTAACTTGGCTATTTAGTAGATGATTCTCTGGTTTGCATTTTTACATTTCCTCATTTAGTAAGGTCTTGATTTTTTAAGCCACAATCTTCACGGACGGTGCAAGTTAGAAAGGAAGCTATGGTCATAAAAAAAATCTCAACATAAAAGAACAACGCTTTTTATTCTCTGCCCATCAAAATAGACCTGAACCGTCCATAGATATGTTTTCTCATCGTTCCCACTATATCATGCATGTTACACGTCGTTTCTCCTAAATTTACATTTTCATTTTGGTATTTAAAAAGTAAACACATTTTTTAGTAATATGATAGAAGTGATAACACACTTATTTCAGAAATCGTTATACCAACAAATAAATAGTAATTCTAGCTAAAGAAAGTGCAAGTGACATAATCAAAAATCAAATCTAAAAAATTGGATAATTTTAGTAAAAAAGCATTCTCGTGTCTATTACATAATTTAATACTTAAGGTAATAACATAATAAACAAAGAAATTCAAATGTTTATGTAAATTTACGTGAAAAGTGAAAACAAGTGTTACTTTTAAGAAATACCGTGTTCCAGCGAATGTGTTATTTATGATGTTACATTCGATGGTCAGAACTCAGAATCTCTTGGTAATCAATTAAGAAGTTGTAGCATTTTCATAAATAATAAAGGCTTTATTTGTATACCATTCTACCATAGTACTATTTTAAGCATCAAGTACATTTATGTCACATCTATTTCCAGTTAGTTTAATTTTATTATTTTCGTCTGAAAAACTATTCCTAACTATACCAAACCCCATTTTCTTTTCTTTTTTCTCAAAACAACTACCAACCGATCTTCAAAGGTCTTTCTGTCGAATTATTTATTTACTTCTCGTGGCTTTTGTTACTTTATAATTAAAAAAAGGCGATGGTCAACATTCTCCGGTGAACCGCCATTACGAAAAATCTTAATTTGGGCAAATTAGAGGATAAAATGGTCATTTAAAGAAGTCCGACTGGAGTTTTCTCCTTTGCTTCGTCGCCCTATACTACGCGTAGTGTCAGACTCGTAACTCCGTTTGACTCAATTACCCCACATTTTTCATTCCATCATTTATAAACACACATTGCTTTTTCTTTTTTACATTGGTTTCTTTCTTTTTTGGCTAGTTAACATAGCCAACTATGTTCATTATGCAACTCACGAAACTTAATACAAAGATGAATATAACTCTGGTTGACGAAGAAAATTCCCCGTTGACAAAAAAAAAGAGAGACGTAAAATCACTACCGTTTTCACGTACATATTGGATAGTCGTATAGTACTAAAAAGTTTAATAGTAAATATGTATATATTTTACAAAACGTATAGTTGCCTTGATAAATTGGTAATTTTGATTTAACATGCATACAAATATAAAACTCTGTATTTATATATATACCTTTAAGCTTCAACTATCATTCTAAAGGCATACCCTTTTAAGACTTTATTTTATCCAACAACCATCGTTTTAAATCCTAATTAACGTGGGTTGGATTGGACAAGTAATAATACTACTATACGCCACGTATATACAATGTATCCTTCTCTTCACGTATAAAATAGTGTATTATTTCCATAAAATACGTCTTTTCTGAAATTTAAAAGTAAGACATTTATCATGAAAATGTATCATAATCAGAATAAGAGTAATCAGTTTGAAAACTAGCTAGTTGACTAAAAGAGAAAGAAAGTACTTTACTTGAAACATGTGTTGAGAATTCACATTATATAAAAGGAAAAAAAAAAAAAACATGACTTTGCGTAGACAATCCATAGTCCAATCAACAAAAACGTGTGGACGGCAAGAGTTCCTTGTAGCTCTCTCTATTTATATCTCTCACTCGCCGATTATTACTAGTAACCAGAACGTTCATCTACCAACAAATTCTCAACTCCTTAATTCTTCACTAAACAGTATACCACAAAACCTCAACATTAAAAATTATTAGATAATCGTGATGGCCTTAGCTAAAGAGTTAATGGGTTATCCTCTCATCACAGAAAGGTCATCACTTGTTTTGTCGGCGTCGCATTTCAAGAAGAGAACACAGACAACACAGTTCTCGATCAAGCCTTTTGACCGCAGACCAAGAAAAGCCAAATCCGGCGTCGTTGCGGCCATCAGCGAAGATTTGGCCAAAACGCTGCGTTTTTCCACAACAACCGGAGACAGAAAGAGCGAAGAGGAAGAGAAAGCGGCGGTGAAATTCAAGGTGAGAGCTGTGGTTACTGTGAGGAACAAGAACAAGGAGGATTTAAAAGAGACTCTTGTTAAGCATTTGGATGCTTTTGCTGATAAAATTGGTCGTAACATCGTCTTGGAGCTTATTAGCACCCAACTTGATCCAAGTAAGTCCTTCTTTTGAAAAAACAGAGCATTCAGATATTTCTATCTGGGCACTCATAAAACCTCTTTGATTCAACAGAAACGAGGTTGCCAAAGAAGAGTAATGCAGCGGTTTTAAAGGATTGGTCAAAGAAATCGAAATCGAAGGCGGAGAGAGTTCACTACACGGCGGAGTTCACGGTGGACGCAGCGTTTGGCTCGCCAGGAGCCATCACCGTTATGAATAAACACCAGAAAGAGTTTTTCTTGGAGAGCATAACCATTGAAGGCTTCGCACTTGGTCCTGTTCACTTTCCATGCAATTCTTGGGTTCAGTCCCAAAAAGATCACCCTGAAAAACGAATCTTCTTCACTAATCAGGTAACTGATTAATTATGGTTTCCAAAATCTTTAAAACACGTCATTTTCGATCCCTCACGAATTGATTACATATCTTAGTCAGTTTCAAAATCTTCTTTAATATTTATGTCATGGTGGGTCCATTAATAATACCCAACTCCCAACTATTATTAAAATATGAAAGTGAATAAGAAAATAACGTCATGTAAATTGAATATTTTTCTCAGCCGTATTTGCCGAATGAGACACCAGGCGGATTAAGAGTATTGAGGGAAAAAGAGTTGAAGAATCTACGAGGAGATGGTAGTGGAGTGAGAAAATTATCAGACAGAATTTACGACTTTGATGTTTACAACGACCTTGGAAATCCCGACAAGTCTTCTGAACTCTCTCGCCCCAAACTTGGCGGCCAAGAGATTCCTTACCCTAGACGTTGTCGTACTGGTCGCCAAACAACAGTTTCTGGTATATTTAATTGCTCAATATCGCTATAAACTTTAACAAAAACATCACTTATATAGTAAGAACATAACCTTATTGAATGATCTCTAATATTGATTTGCATTGTTGATAGATAAAGAAGCGGAGAGCCGAGTAGAGAAGCCATTACCGATGTACGTGCCACGAGACGAGCAATTCGAAGAGTCTAAACAAGACACTTTCGCTGCCGGGAGGCTAAAAGCGGTCTTGCACCACCTAATTCCGTCGCTCAAAGCCAGTATTGTAGCTGAGGACTTTGCAGACTTCGGCGAGATCGATAGTCTCTATAAAGAGGGCTTGTTACTCAAGTTAGGGTTTCAAGATGACATCTTTAAGAAGTTCCCTTTGCCAAAGGTCGTCGTTGATACCCTCCAAGAATCTACTAAAGGACTCCTCAAATACGACACCCCAAAAATATTATCGAGTAAGCACCCTAAATTTAGAACATCAATTTTAAGGAAAAAAAAATCGAACTCATGCCATTTAAATATCCCAACACCACTAAGCAAAGTAGCAAACATATCCTAATTGAATAATTTCCAAGAGTTTTACATTATATTATTGGTTTTTTTTTTGGCGATTTGCGTATCGTTGGTGGTAATTGGGATCCATTATTAAAATGTTAACCCCACCAAGAAAAAGAAAAAGAAAATCCCTTTAGTTCCCAAAAGCAGACAAAACGCATTACTAGGGTGTTTAACTAATAGCAACATATGTTCCACGTGCTTCTCTTAACTCGTTTTGCGGATAACAAAAGCGCGTTTGCTTTTATTTAACTCATTCATGCATAGCCGTAATTTGCTTATTACTACAATCTTAATTAATCAATTGATTTCTGAAAATAAATAATGCAGAGGACAAAAACGCATGGCTAAGAGATGACGAGTTCGCTCGTCAAGCCATAGCTGGAATCAATCCAGTGAACATTGAGAGAGTCAAGACTTATCCACCGGTCAGCAATCTTGACCCCAAGATCTACGGTCCACAACACTCAGCTCTCACTGACGACCATATCATTGGTCACCTCGACGGATTCTCCGTACAACAAGTACGTTTATCTAAACAAATCCCCCCATACAATGGATTAACTTAACTAATGAAAAAATGATTAAATTAAATTTTGTCTTTTCTAAACTTTTCAGGCGTTGGAAGAGAATAGATTGTATATGTTGGATTACCATGACATATTCTTACCGTTCCTAGACCGGATCAATGCGCTAGATGGACGCAAAGCTTATGCTACTCGAACCATTTTCTTCTTGACTCGTCTAGGCACACTGAAGCCTGTAGCCATTGAGCTAAGCCTCCCTCCCAATGGCCCGAAACATCGGTCCAAGCGTGTGCTTACACCTCCAGTCGATGCAACCTCCAATTGGATGTGGCAACTCGCTAAAGCACACGTTAGTTCTAACGATGCTGGTGTCCATCAACTTGTCAATCACTGGTTAGTACTCAAAATATATGTTACTATACATCTACGTAACAACTAGTGAATATAGAGTGACTGACATGTTTTGTTATATTTGTTTGTAAAGGTTACGGACTCATGCATGCTTGGAGCCATTTATATTAGCTGCGCATAGGCAGTTGAGCGCTATGCATCCGATATTCAAGCTACTGGATCCGCACATGAGGTACACGTTGGAAATCAATGCATTGGCGAGACAATCGTTGATCAGTGCAGATGGTGTGATCGAAGGAGGCTTCACTGCCGGCGCATACGGCATGGAAATGAGCGCTGCCGCATATAAAAGCAGCTGGCGGTTCGACATGGAAGGCCTCCCCGCGGATCTCATTCGCAGGTATTTTAGCTAAATCTTTCTTTTTGTTTTAGTTGAAGATTTTTAGCTGCTAAACTGTTTTTTAGTTGTAAAAATCTAATTTAAATTGTGTTTATTTTCAGAGGAATAGCAATTCCTGATGCATCACAACCACATGGTCTTAAACTCCTAATCGAAGACTATCCGTATGCCAACGACGGTCTTTTACTCTGGTCCGCTATCCAAACCTGGGTCCGCACCTACGTGGAACGCTACTACCCAAACCCGAGCCTAATTAAAACAGACTCTGAGCTCCAAAACTGGTACTCCGAATCAATCAACGTTGGCCACGCCGACCTCCGCGATGCTGATTGGTGGCCGGAGTTATCAACCGTCGACAACCTTGTGTCCATCCTCACCACCTTAATCTGGCTTGCCTCAGCACAACACGCCGCTCTAAACTTCGGACAATACCCGTACGGCGGCTACGTCCCCAACCGACCACCGTTGATGCGGAGGTTAATCCCCGACGAGTTGGATCCAGAGTATGCGAGCTTTATCTCTGATCCGGAGAAGTATTACTTCTCGTCGATGCCAAGTTTGGCGCAGACGTCGAAGTTTATGGCGGTGGTTGATACTTTGTCGACGCATTCTCCGGATGAGGAGTATATTGGGGAGAGACAACAACCATCAATTTGGACCGGAGATGCAGAGATTGTTGAAGCGTTTTATGGGTTTGCGGCGGAGATTGGACGGATAGAGAAAGAGATTGAGAAAAGAAACGCTGATCCTGACCGTAGAAATAGGTGTGGGGCTGGTGTTTTGCCTTATGAGTTGTTGGTTCCGAGTTCTGAGCCTGGCGTTACTTCTAGAGGTGTACCTAATAGTGTATCTATATGATTACGAATGAAATTAATTATTTATGGGATGTAAATGTAGAAAATGCTATCAATAATTTTTCTTGTAATATATGATATATATATATATATATATATATATTTAAAGAATTTTTTAGTAGCGTTTGGATAATTGAAACTATGCCAGAATGGCAAAAGCAAAATGACTAGAAAAGGTTAATGTAAAACGCGGATAATTGCATTTATCTAGCATGAAATTTGGCATGGTTTATTGGGTTCTGACCTAACTTGGGTCTCAAACTATCTTCTGATCACACGCATAAACCTTGATATTATAAGGTGCTATGAGATAAAAAGAGATAAGTTTGTACCTTCTTTTCTCCATGGAACTTCCAGTCACTCACTTAAGAGTGTAGACAAAGGTTTCTTCTTGGATTTTAACCTAACTTGGACCTGAATCTATATATCATTTCATTGGTAGAAATCTAGGAACTTTTAGTTGGCAAGAGAGATCCAACGGGTAAAAACTGTAGTCTTTGTTTGGTAGATTCTGATCCAACGATGCAGATTCACCAACAAGAGCCAGTGGCTTAATCGAGTGTGGCTTATTATTAGTTGTCGTAGAGAAGACAACAAAGAGACCATATAGTTTATTAGTTTAACATGACTACATGAGTACATGAGTGATGTGTGGACCAGTCGCTCTCGTGCTAGGACATTCTTTAAACAGCTTCAACTTATTAGATTTTCGTTAAAATGTTGATAAATATTTATACTAGAATTTAGATGTCGAAACACTTTAACATGCACTTTGCCACGTTTGAACCAAAATCAAATCAATAACGCTGTAAACCGGAATTAACCGTAATATACCGGACCGGTAGAAACTTAGTTTCAAATTTAAAAGCGCACACACTCTCTCTCTCTCTCTGTCGCCACAACAATACCTTGTCTGCAAAAAAAGATATCCAGTTTTTTCTTGAAAATGGCGTCCATGAAACACGTTCATCTCTTCCGTCGTTACCTCTCAATCGTCCTCTCTCTCTTTCAAAGCTTAATTTCATGTTTCTTCGATTTTCCAATACTGATCAAAATCGCCGATTCGTTCTTATCTCTGTATTTCTTAGTTTTCTGCGATCTCCGACCCGTAACCGTCGATCTAGACGACGGAGAAACCACTGTACATTTCTGGATCTCAGGCCATCGTAGAATCTCCCGTACGAATCTTGTCATGCTCCACGGATACGGAGGAAACTCCAAATGGCAATTCGTTCATCAAGTCTCCGATCTCTCTAAATCGTTTAATCTCTTCATCCCCGATTTGGTCTTCTTCGGGAAATCATATTCGAAGAATCCAGATCGGAGCATTGAGATTCAGGCGAGGAGCATCGTCGGAGGATTGAAGAAGTTGGGCTGCGTCGAAGGAGGAGGAGGGGTTTCGGTTTATTCGATTAGCTACGGTGGATTTGTGGCGTATAAAATGGCGGAGATTTGGCCGGAGATGGTTGAGAAATTGGTGATTGTGAGCAGTGGAGTGGGATTTACACAGCAACAGAAGACGGCGGAGTTGAAAAAACACGGCGGAGATTGTTCGAAAATTCTTGTTCCGAAAACTCCGATGGATCTACGGTTGCTGATTAAGATCTCTATGAATACCGGTTTAACGTTCGTCGATTGGGTTCCAGATTTTGTCCTCTCCCAATTCATCGCTGTAAGTTGGTTCTGTTTCTGTTTTTTTCAGTTTATTTCCCAATCTGGTCCCGTAAATTGTTTGTTCATTATTTATGAACCTAAAGGTTTGAAATTTGCAAAATGGATCCTCTTGTTATAGGTAATGTATGAGAAAAATCGGCAGGAGCTTCTTGAGCTAGCTAAGAATTTGTTGGAAAGAGAAGAGGAACCAGAATTGCCTGTAATATCACAGGTAGTATAAAATTTCGTTGATTTAATCTTGATAATTAAGATTTAACTCTTTTATTCTTCGGCACTAATGATTTAACTTTAAGCATCAAGATAAATATTAATAAGTTGGCGTGATGATTGATGGGTCGCTGATAGAAAACTAATTGATGATGTTTGGATTGTTTTTGGGTTAAGTATTCATATTTTGGAGAGTGGAAACACTATTCTTGTTTGTTTGCTTTCACTTTTCTATTATTTCTAGAGGATACTACGGATTATGATGCTTTCTTTATTCGAATCTACGAATAAAAAATGACTCTGATTAATTGAATGCAGAAAACATTAATCGTTTGGGGAGACAAGGACAAGGTCTTTCCCTTGGAGCATGCTTATCGGCTGCAAAGGTAATAGACTACATTGATAATTTTACATGGCGGCAATAACTCCCATACCGAAGTGTTCTAATAACTTAAATTCCTATAAATGTTTCTACTAGGTCAGAAGACTCAAAACATCCAACGTTGAAACGCATGTGATTATTGATCGTGAATAATATGTCGAGACTAATAATAATTATATGCTTTTGCAGGCATTTACAGAGTTCAAGATTAGAGATAATAAAGGAAACTGGTCACGCTGTTAACATTGAAGCACCAACTACTCTTAATAATTTAATTACTTCGTTTGTTTTAAGTGTTTGATTTCTATTTTTGTATATACTTCCTACTTCTATCAAATATCTATATGCATTAGATTTAAGTATGTATATAGTTGACATCATTTAACACATCATCAAATGCTGAGTCATCAAAGGGCTACACTTTCAAGCTTAAAATGGAGTGGACAACTTAAAAATTACAAAAGAGAAAGACAAAAACCCACTAAAGAAGAAGAAATAGTTAGAAAGTCCCACAACTATGAAAAAAATAACTGTATTATTTGATTGCCTATAAGACTCATGAATTATATATATATAATACATACACTTTGACTCCTTGTGCCTTCACTCTCCGTAGATGTGTAAACTCCTGAAACCTAACAAAGCAAAAGTTGAAGAGTATAGCCATAAATACGAGTTTTTCTTCTTTATGAAAAATGCTTGTGTAATAATGAAGTGTTTACCAAGAAGATGAACATAGCAGTGAGAGCTGGCTCAGGCTTTTATATTCAAGTCCTTTAGTATCGTGTCATATGTTGTAATATGTGAGGACCGGATGTTTGCGAAATCAGTTGTTCTGAACTTGGGGATGGTCTTAAGAGATGATTTGGACCATTTGGGTTCACCATCACTTGTCTCATAGTTTCCTTGGAATTGCTTGCATTCGTCTCTGCTTTTGAGGATTCTAGTAATGCACGCACCTGGCAACGCAACACATAGAAGAAACTTGAGAGAGAAGTCCATAAATTCGACTGTACACAAAGAGATGTTTGGAATATCATTAGCTTACCATTGCAAGTCGCTTCTTGTGAAGATCAGTTGGTACCTGCAAGTTGTTAACTTGAGATCAATATCTAGCAAACTCATGTTCTTTTTCTTTTCTTTTATTAGACATTGCGGTGATGCACATTCACATATACTATGTTCTTGAAGAGTTTTAAAAAGAAAATCACTTACAGTTTTTGTTTGGCGTTTATCGTCACTTGAGAATCCAGGAATTGTCAAGTGCAAGTTTTTCTCTGCATGAATTATAACCCAACAAACAGCACAATGAGTAACAATAGCAACCACTTATAATCCACATTGAACAGAGCTTATCACCCAAATTAAAGTTTGAGTACAGACCTAGGTGGAGTAATATATCCTTGGGCTCCAATACGGATGATTTACGATGCTTAGCCAAGCTACATGCAAAAGATGTCACCTGCAATGAAGTATGTGTAAGATAGAGGTAGCTTTCAACAAATCTGTAAAGCAAAAAACTGAAGTTAATACTAAATAACTGATATTAGCTTCTAACCGAATCAATGAAGTCATCTGCCACCTCCAAAAGGAGGTCTTCAACATCAGGATCCAATCTAGCATGTACATCCACCTGAACATAATGAGACATATTTTTAAAGGACGATGAACAGAATAAGATAGAAACAAGCTATAGAGTTCATGAGGGACAACCACCTGCGAAACCAGATCCTGTATCTTCCTTTTACCAAGGAGTTGGTTTGTTGCTTCTGTTCCTTGGCTTGAGCTACCACCAGGTGTTGTTGTACCCGATTGTGTAGCATCTGGTTGTGAACCCGTTAAACTGACAGATTTTTGTCCTGCATGACTCGACATCCTTGGAGATGGCTGTTGTTGATTAATCTGCATTTGCTGTTGTTGTTGTTGCTGCTGCATCTGCTGTTGTGGTTGCTGCTGTAGTTGTTGCTGCATCTGTTGTAGTTGTTGTTGGGAATGGGAATGGTTCATCTGCGACTGGCCTAATTGTGATTGTTGCTGCTGCTGCTGTTGTATTATCTGTGATAACTGCTGCTGATTCAAGGACATAGAAGATTGATGTAACTGAGGAGAGGGCAGTTGTTGTTGCTGCTGCTGTAAGAGTAGAGCCTGCCTTTGACTCGGTTGGAGTCGGAATGAATTGGGGCTCGTTATTCCCGACATTTGCTTCAGCCATTGCTGCTGTGACAAGGAGTTTTGCATCATGCCAGCTTGTCCATTCTGGGCCAAACTCGATAGCTGAGGATTCATAAATGCGAGAGAAGATGTTCTCTGGAGGTTCTGGACCTACACAGGGGATTACAAAAAGTTACCAAGTGAAGAGGATACAAGAGATTTTACGTAACTCTATTTTTTACTCGAAAAGAAAGAAACACATGCTTACAAAAGGATCAGGAATTTGCATTTTGCACAACACAAATGTATTCGTACCTCTATAGATATATAGGTCAGATTTTAGAATACATGGTAAATCGGTCAATTTTTAGAATCATTCCAGCGTCATTCAGGTATTTTAGTTGCCAATTACAGATATTGGAAAAGACTCTGCAAGCCAATATTAAGTGATTGATCAAACTAGCAAAACCTCATGGATCAGTTTAATTTAAGACTGTGCAACAATAAGTCAAACAAAGGAAATGATCCAACACGAGAATTCATTTGTATCCATGAGCCATAAGATATAACAAGTAGTTAATGAAAAAGTTTACAATGTCAGAGAAAGAAGTGTGCGTAAGTAAGCCAGAAAGCTCATACGAGTTTTTAAACTCATACCTGAGGTGAAGTAAGAGCGTTTTGCTGTGACAATTGCTGTCTCATCTGGCCCGGGTTGATTCGCTGCTGCGCATAGAGAGCAGGGTTGCCTCTCATCTGCGAGGTCAAATTGAGTGATCCCATCATTCCCATTGCTTGCATCCCTTGTAACTGTTGTCCAGAACTTCCCGGATGAAACTGCGAACCTTGAACCAGGCCAGATTTCTGCCTCGGCTACAACGGAAAGCTCATTTGTCTCAGAATAAAGAAAGTGATTTTGTTCACACAAATAGGAGAAAGAAACTGCAGAATTTAATCCTATTCATATCAACAAAAGCAATTGCAAGTCATCTCCATCACAATACTTGTTATCAGCTTTATTATCACAAGCTTAAGATTCAATTCAAAATCGAAAGCAAATACATAAAAAGCTACAATTTGATCAAAAAAAGAAATAAATTTATATATGGTAAACAGAGTAAAGTAAGAATGTGGTACCGAAGCTGCCAATAATTGGGGCTGAATATTCATCTGAGCTGATCCAGCTGCGCCGTTAAGCATTGGCAAGTGACCGCTTTGGCCAACTAAAGCTGCTCTGGACATATTAGGGTTGACCATCTGCTGATTCTGCTGGCTCTGTTGAACTGAACCTGAGCCACCAAAGTTCATGGTTCCGTACAATCCAGCTTGCTGTCTCAAAACGTTGCCGTATTGACCTTGATGTTGCTGCTGCTGCTGTTGTTGTTGCTGAATTTGGCTCAGGCGAGAGATAGAAGGAGATCGCTGAAGAGATTGAGGTATTTGGTAATTGGACATTGGAATTTGCTGGGAAGTCATGTGTTGTTGTTGCTGGAGAATCTGTTGCTGTTGCTGCGATAATTGCGGAATCGGAGATGAAGAGATTTGGTGCATAATCTGTTGTTGTTGTTGTTGTTGAGGCAATTGCTGAGTTTGTTGAACGAGTTGGTGAGTCTGTGTTTGCTGATCCAAAGGATGAGAGAGAGGAGAAGGCGACGGGATCTGAGCTCCGACGGCTGGGTTCGAAGTAGGGTTGGGAGAGGATTGCGAATTGTTCTGAATTACAACACCTTCGGTGGTAGTTACAGTCATAGCCGGAGACGCAGCGGAATTAACAGAATTGGAAACCGGAGCTGTCATGAGTTGTTGTTGTTGTTGTTGCGATGATGATGAAGGTAAAGGAGCAGAAGATGCAGGAGAAGGTTCCATAGGATTAGGAGATTGAAGAGATTTCGGTGATGAAGGAATTGGTTCCGCCATTAGAAGAAACCCAGCTGTGAAGAACAAGGTCTTTTATGAGAGGGGTTTTGTCGATTTTTCTTCGCTCATGTTAATTTTCCCCAGAATTTTTTTGACCGAGAAATATATCGTCTTTTGTTTGTTGATCTCTCGGTGGTAAAAAGAATCTGAGCCGTACACGTCAGTAGATTTAAAAGAAGATGATCGAAAAGAATGGATAGATAGATAGATACGTTGTACTGAACTGTGTTTCATTATTCCAGACTCTCACACAACTGCTCTAACACTTTTTTGTATCATAGACCAATGCTGCATCCATATTTTACATTTTCTTTTCTCCATTTATTACATCAAATACCACAATAAAAAGTCAAACTGTTTCGTTACTGAGAGCGATGATAATAGTTTGCAGTATTTTCATGTTTTCTGGTATTTCAGTTGTTTCTTTTTAGTTGTGTCTTTAAAGTTTAGTTTTGTCTCTTGATTCTGTATGACTCAAACCTTAAATTATTTGGTTAACTTAGTAAACTACACAAACTAGAAGGAAATAATCAACATCCTGTTGATCATTTAATTTATTCTTATTTCTACAAACTTTTTACCAACTTTCAATCATCGCAGTGGCTTCAAAAATTGATGTACTATTTCGTCTACAAATTAAATAGAAATAAAAACTCTCTCTTCTTAAATAAAAAGATTGTAAATCCTTCCAAAGGTCAGCTAGTAGTATAATGTAAAACCTACAATAAGGGATATGAATCCAGCACCATTAATCTAGAAAGAGAATTAATCATAAGACCAACCATCACATCTACATACAAATACAAGAAAGTGTGGACTTTCAAATCACAAAACTATATAATAATTTCCCACATAACATTAATAATTTATTGCATCGACTTTTGGACTGAACTAGACAGACAGAGATTTTACAAATATTACAAGGCAAAGAGTCCCTTGGAGTTGGCAAACAAGTGTTTGCGGCGGATAAGCTCCGGTTTACTAGGACCTGTTGAAACAAGACCGGCTAACAGAGACGGAGGACCGGTGAATTTGGTTTGCACCATTTCCCTCACTTTCATATACCCGTCCAGTGTCATCAACTCCAGAAGCTTTCTACAGCTCTGAGATTGAAAAACAATTACAGAATGTTATCAGAGAGCAAACACAGTCCATATATAGACACCAGACAAACAGCTTTAGGAGAGGATGTTTAGGGTTTATGATACACAAGGAGATTGTATATTACCTGAGGATTTAGTATGTCCATTAGGTTTATTATCTCGTCCTGCCACACATGGTTGTTTCAATTAGTATTTTCATATAGCTCGAAACAATGACGGCAACTATTCGGTGGAAAATGGACAAGTATTTACCTCTGGTATACCGGGATTTTGCATCACGGTACCAAGAACACGGCGAACTAGTCCATCAAATACAACTTTATTTATTGACCCATCTGCGTTTACCCATGGAAATATAGGCACAGGTGACTTCTCAGAAGTTGATTCCTTTGTTTCACCTTCGATACCCGTTCCAAAAGTAACAGATGGAGCTTTGATAGATGCTTCGTGTAAACAGCTCGTTTGAGCCATTTCAGGAAGGTTAAGAATAGTAACCTTGTGAACGCTACTCCCAGCGACATGCTCTCGCTCGTCCTGTGAAGTACTGTAGCCGCTAGCAATAACATCTTTTGACCTATGTTCCCCAACAGCTCTCTCTAGGTAGTTCACTGGTAGAGACTGTTGACCTTTTTGGGAAGTTCCATCCTCCTCCAATGTCAAGAAGTACTTTGATCGGTAGAAGGAATGGACAACACGGAAATTATTATAGCCATTTACCTGAGTAAGATATTGTCTGGTTAATAAGTTACTTGTAAAACGATGTAACATGAAGAGAGTTCACAGTCCAGGAAAGTAAAATGATGTAACATGAACAGGGTTCACAGTCCAGGAAAGTAAAATGATGTAACATGAACAGGGTTCACAGTCCAGGAAAGTAAAACTAGTAAACCAAGCGCTGCAACTTTCATCTTAATAAAGGCAACAGTGTTTGTAAAATAAGAGATAATAAGACAAACCTTCAAAGCTACCCCAAATGTTTGAAGTACATCTACAATGCAGTCACAAGTTTCTTGGCCTGATGAAATACACAAAGGTTAAATAAAAACACTGAAGGAAGTCACCAGCACATGCAAAAGTAGAAGCCTGTTAAAAAGGTTTGCCTGATGCTTACTTGGGATATCAATAAGACGGTGGACTTCTTCAACGCTCAGACCTTGGTCACCAGCCTTCTGAAGGGCATTGGAAACGGTTTCAAAAACCATGGGACTGAATAAACTCACTTCCTCATCTGCTGATTCGGACATAATACTACTAGTAAAATTGGCCATCGCTTGCCAGGGAGAATCACCTAGACTGCTTGGTATGACAGTAGAACCCGTAGAGTTGAAAAGTTCTTTCATGTCATCAGAATCAGAGCCACTATTCGTTTCTCTCCACTTGAAATGAAGTTCACCAGTGCGAGAGTCATCATCCTTAAACAACTCTATTGCATTAGCTGTTGGTAGAGTTGCACGACAAACAGATACTGCTATACCAGGGAAACCCTTTTCCTTTCGGAAGTTGATTTCACCTTCTCCTAGTAGCTTTAATTTCTTAGCGCTATCAGCTTCAGATTCTTCTATGTCATCAGCTCTACGTTTTAAACCTCTTCGATCTCCAGGCTCTCCAACACCTTCTTCAGGCAAGGATACAGATATAGAAAGTTCACCAGAAGAAACCAATGAAAAGAAATTTAAAATATCGCCACATTGCAAATCTGAAGTAAGGGCGACTCCCCCAGCCATAAGGTCTCTTTCATGTTTGAGAAGCCAACTGGAAAACTTGGCTGCTCTTGTCCCAGTATTAACTGGGAATGGAGACTTTGAAATACTATGCAAGAAGTTTTGAGAAAGCACAAATGGCTGTCCACCACTTCCACCAACCTGAAACGTTCCCATAAAAATGATGACTTTTCAATGAGGTACAAATAAGCTTGATTCAAATGAAATATCAAAGTGAGGTAAAGAAAAACTGTTTCTTATTCGCCATCTCATCCAAACATCAAGCATGCACATTATGTGGTTTTGACAGCAACACCGAAAGTTAACATGCTATGCTATGCTATTGAAATAGAGCTTCACATGGACACTCCTATGCCTCTTCATACAACTGATAAGCAATTAAGCATATAACAAAAGGCAGAAGCCAGAAATTTTAACCCAGTAACAGGAAAGTTATAGGTAATTTTACCAGGAATTTTTTGTCTCGGAGGTAGCTATAGGCTGTAAAGAGGTCTCGCTCTGAATAACGTCTTAAGGTATCTTCCAGCAAATTTGGCATACCAGGTGCAGTAGGCATGCTCAGAAAGACAAGCTTTAACAGTTCTGCAGCAGTAGAAACTGCCAGAGATTTCCGTACTTGTATACTACCGTTGTCTTTTTCATCTAAAGGCTTAACAGTTTGATGAAGACGATAATGTCCAGATCGTCGAGATGTATCTTTAACTTGATCCACAGTCACATTTTGAATGTTCTCTGAGTGAATCGCAGGTGGAACCATATCACTCCCCTGCGAATTCATAGTTTTCGTTTATCATATATTGCCAAAAGCAAAAGAACCACTGAAATTAAGACCTTCCAGATCAGGGTGAATGAGATGGTCCATGTTTTCAGTAAAATTATGTATGAAGGGTTGTAGCAATAAAAGTGAAACATCACAGTAAGGTGAAAAAATTGTGGGGATGATGTCAAACGAAAGAAAAGTAAGCAAAGGATGCACCTCATCAACTATATCTCTGTTTGACCATTCCCGAGAGCCAGGCTTCGTCCGTTTAGGGGCCACCAGTTTAGCCATCTTCTTGAGATCAAGAACATCATTAAAGGCTTGACTTATACTCTTTTCATTGAAGTCATCCCATTTTTCTTCATCAAAACATATATCTTTACCATGCTCAACAGAACCAGAATCCGTTCCGCCAATCGCCGGGGATAAATATCTAACAAGAACATGTGACCTGTTGCTCTCGGGTAAACACTTCTGTTTCATCTCTAGATGTCTTGCATAACGCTCACTGAGAAGATTGCAAAGCCTCATGATCGCCTTCCGAAATTTATCATTCTTCATCAATATTTGAATCCGTCGCTTGCAAGCTAAAGGTGGGGCAGGCAGTTCTGGAACTGAAGCCCAGATTACTCCATGAAATTTCGCCCCAAGAGCTGCGCGGTGTCTAACATATTGACTCAACAATTTCCTGACCAGAAAATACTGGTGTCAGTGGTGCAAATCAATCAGATATAATAAAATAGTTAAAGATAGGAGAAGGTTAAAAGAATGAACGACTGAACACTAAATCATGTGGAAGTTAGTTGACAATAAAAAAGTATGAATTCATTAAAATTGACTCAGTAAAGGAACTCCCAAGGTATTGGCCCTCCTCTAAGGCATGACTTACCTGAAGAGAAACTCCTAAAACCAACATTACATTGGACGTTTACAACGAGAACTGATTTGATATATGAACAGCATTCATATAAACATATAGATACACTACTGAACTTTCATTGGATGTGTCAAGTACCTGTCTGCCTCATCTGTCCACGAAAATCTTTGTGAAGGAGTTGCTGTGGTCTTTGAACTTGCGTACTGGTTGATAATAGAAGAACACTGGCCTTCATCTTCAGCAAGATCCATTATCTCTGCATTTTCTTGTAGATTATGCTCCTGATGCATCGGAATGGGGGTTTGGTCCTCTTCTAATGAATTTTGAAATTTTTCACTATTTGAGGCATTAATGGCAACGGAATTCAGAACCTTTTCTCCATCTACTATTATGGATCTGACACCTTCTCCTGTAGTCTTTACGATAGTTTCTCTTTTTCTTTTCCCGGAAGATGAAGAAGGGCTATTATCTATAGCAAAATTTTTATCTTTTGATTTGGACTTCACACGTCTTCCATGCTTCGCATGATAGACATGCATAACCTGGAGTACGTAACCAAAAACTATTAGCTACCTCACCCAATAAAACAAGAGGAAAAAAAGAGAACATTCAGGTCAGTCTCTGATTGTGGACCAGAGATGAGAAAGCTTTAAATCCAAAATCAAGCTGAAACATTGAAGAAATCAAGAGTCGGCATGATCTCTAAGATCAAGGACAATAAGAAAATTATTTGGCAAAGTAACACCTGGTCTCAAATACTAATTTTTCCTAATAATTAGGTAGGTGACCTAGGCAATATATACAGCACACACAAAACATATCTTTACCTGCTCTAAGGTCAGGTTCAGATCCTTAGCAATCTTCTCACACTCTTTGAATGAGAGTTTTTCCTTCTCATCGATTGCAATGCGCTGTAAGAGCTTAGCACGCTGTTCTGTTGTCATGACACGATCTGAGGCCCAAGAGCGGAAACGAAAAACCTAGAAGAACTGACTGTTAGAAACAGTTTTCTGAATATCTAACATAACAGGCAGATGGAAAGTATTGTCACAGGAAAAAAAACAGCAAACAGAGATATAAGCGTAACACACATACATATTTTAAGTAGGTTATAATATTTTGGTTTCATGGACTCAATTGTATCTATATAATAAGCCATAATATAAAATGATCAAGCTTTATACCTCTTGAACAACAGATCCCGGAAATGCTAGCTTAGCAGCTCTATGATCGGCAGCAGCATAGCAATACTCTAAAGTTAGCCAATATTCATCAACAGCATCTCTATTTGATAGAATAAAGTCATGCCGAATACGTGGACGAAAATCAAGAGACATAACATTGGATGTAGCAGCAACAAACACAGGTTCCTCTATATAAGGCTTAAGCTCCATTGCATGGGTTAGATTAGCATACTTCTCCTCAATTTCATCGCGTCTGAGTCTACTGCTTACCATCTGAATCAACTACAAAATAAAAATAAGCACAGGCAATAGAATCATTCATTTTCTGAACTGCACACACTTCTCCGAAATACGTACCAACATAAAGTACTTGAGGTTATATTTAATTATTAATAATACCTTCAATCGGCGTAAGATATCAATAAGCATCGATAATCTCCCAGTCGCAAGGGTATCCATTAGAAGCTTATACTCTTCGCCAGGAAGCTCAGAAAGACGCATAACCTGTTTGCATTTCTTCATCATATCATCGGCTTTCTGAGTAGATCCAACAACTTGTAAAAATAGTTCGAGTGGCATGGCTTTAAAAGCATCTTCAAGTGCAAACAAATTGTCAAATTTCTGATCATGTATAGACGAAAAGGCATTGTCCCAGCTAGGCAAAGAACTAAAATAGTCCCAAAGGAAACAATGTAGGAGCTTCACACGAACCATCTTTGCAAGCACAAACCCATTGGCTCGCATGGCTCCTGATTTGCTAGCACGCGCATCCAAATCCACATTTGTTTGACCTCTCTGAACGTCATTCAATATTGGAATTAGCTCGTTGCTTTTCCTCTTCGATAAGTTCTGGCCACGGAGTCCCAGTTCAAAAGACCTAATCCTATCATGAATTTCACCAACTATGTCCCGAGTCAAACTTTGAACAGATGGATGAAAAACTACCACAGAGCTACGATTGCGACCACAATTAGTAACATTTGGGACACTAATGTTCATGCAATTGCAGAGTCCTTCTTCTTGAAGCCTGTTTAGAATTCTGTCAATGGTTTTCCTATCCACTTTGGAGCTCCTGTCCTTCTCAAGACTGAGCAGCCATTTATGTAGCTCGGCTCTTACAACAAACTTCTCCTCCTTTGGCCAGCCCAGAAAGAAGAAACAATTAGTCAGTTGGAAGGGAAAAAGAAGGAGAAATAAATTATGGCATGCAACATCGATAAAAGAGAACAGTAAGTACATTTAAGCGCTCAAGTATTCTCCGCTCTCTTCGAGAGTTTTCAATAGTAATCGGCTGAGGTTGGTGCACCTTCGGTTTAGCTGGCTTCTGTAGAGCGAGATGGTTCGTTTCTGACAAAGCCAAATCAGGGGACCCCATTGCAGTATCAACAACCTTATCACAGATCTCATGGAATGATTCTTGTAAGTTACGGCGTGTAAGGAAATTTCTTCTTTTGGCATTAGATGGAGAACAATCAGGAACTCCTGAATTGCTTTCAGAATCAGTTAACCTTCCAGGTGTAGCAAAGTGGAGAACTCCTGAATTGTTTTCAGAATCAGTTAACCTTGCAGGTGTAGCAAAGTCAGCATCAGAAATTGCAAGACTGTGTTCGATGCAGGTCTGACCCAATCCACCAGTATCATGAGGTGTGGCAAAATCATTAGTCGGTACATTATTTTCCCAGCTACGATTTTCAACTTTCTCAGGAAACAGATCAGAACACTCGGACCCAGCATTACCAGAAGTCCAAACTCGAAATACTCTAGTCTTCTTGTGGCTTTCTGCCTGTATATGCATCCCGACTCTTAAACAAATACTATAAAGCCGAGAGTAGCTCTTCTTCTTGTCAATACCAAGTCTTTCACATACCTGGTAAAAATAATAATTTAAGACATATTGTAGCTCCCGAATTTCTTTTTCAAAAAATTCAGTCAAAGACATTAGGAATACCAAAAAGATTACGACTCTTTCAAGTAAGTAATTTTCTCCGAAAAAACTGTAAGCGAAACCCATCAAATGAATACCTCCATCACAGCCAAGCCTTTAGATCCTTCAGCATCAACCATATCATAAATTTGATTATCTATTGGAAGCTCCAAAGTTTGTTCTGTTCTTTGAATACTCCTTCCGAATTTTAGGAGTTGTTTTTTCCCAGAGTAGTTATTAAAATCTTTTGCTGAAAATCTTTTTAACAAACGGAGGCATCGTTCAACCTGCAGAAAGGACAATCGACATGAAAATCAGTTTTACAGCCAAACAAAACAGATCAGAAATGCTAAATAACGGCAATTGGCCACCATATGTGGTGAAATGTATTAGAATGATGGAATGCGATGCAGATTATAGTTCACCTTATTGTTCACCACAGCATCAAACTCCTCTACTACATGAGAATCTGTCAACCGGCGACAAACCTGATGTAATCCAAAAGAAAAAAAATGAGTTAAATTGGCAAAGTGTTGAAAGTCTGCTTTTCCTTCCAAATTTGCTTGGAAATATTCAGTTCCAAGTGAATGAAAAGTAAGATGAAAAGAAAAAATATATACTTACACTTCTCCAAGCTCTATGCCTTGAATGTGATCCCAAATAACCAAGGTCTTGCTTAATGTCCGAGACGACTAGAACCTGCACTACACGAAAATGAGTATAGAGCAAGAACGCTCCAGCTTGATAGAAAAAATAAAGAAATGATTTGCACTTACTAACCTTCTCGTTAGCTTCTTCAAGCTTATCACAAATTGCCTTCATTGCTGGTAGAAAATCTTTAATGAGCGTATCCTCTTTTGTACTTTCAGATAGTAAACTATCTCCGGCTGGAGTAGCCTCTTGCTCCTTCATTGGTGTCTCCGACAAAGAGTCCTCTTTGCAAATTTCAAACCTCTGCTGAGAACCCAAAGGCTTGGCGTAACGACTTAAGTAAATCATATTGGTGCTAATGCATGAAGTAGTTTTGGAATCCCCTTCACCATCAACTTCCTTTGTTCTCACAATCGCTGGTTGTTTAACAACTAAACCTCGAGACTCAAGGTGCTTCACAATATAGAAGAAGTTCCTACCTTCGATACCAAACTCTTTCGCAAGCAGATTTTGTGCAACTCCATTGGCTCTAAATTAAACACATACAACATACTATTATACGAGCTCGAACTCTTAAGAGTAGCTAGAAGAGAAAATTGAATTTACACTTACCGAGCAACAGCAAGCCGCTCAAGAACACGACGCTGAATAGCGGAAATAGTCGTGTTATTGGACTGAGCATCGTACAAGCCCACGAAGTTACCTCGGAGCTTCTCATTCGCGACGATTCTCAAATCTAGTCTTAATGCTTCTTCCAGCTGTTGAATAGAAGCATCAGATGGTTCGTACACAGTGTTCTTCGCCTTGAACTGGAGCTGAGGGACGGCGAGAAGATTTCTCCAGACATGAGCCTTGACGGAAGGCGACAGAGGAGGAGGAGAGAGCCTTGACCATAGAGAAACCAAAGGGATCCCTGTATTACCCTGACAACAGATTTCCTCCAGTGCTGTGCATACAATCGAATCCATTTCTCATCATCCAAAAGGAACTCCGTTAGGTTTAGGTCAACGGACAATCTTTCGCCGGTAAATTAGTCGGTCAGCCGGTTTCCCGACGTCACGAAATTCTCGCCGGAGAGGTGTCGGAATTTATAGATTTGGAAGATGGCGGGATCAGAGGACGATCAAAGAGAAAGATAATCGAGTTCTTGGTGACGGGATCGATCTCAAGGAACTGCGAAAAATAATTACGAGGTAATTAGGGGGTGAGACTAGGAAGTGACGAGAATGCCCCTACGTCAGCAGGTTAAAAATTGATTCCTCACGCTTCTAAACTACGTGACGTTTTATTTACCATTGGAACGACACGATGTTTAAGCGAAGTAGCTACAAACAGCACGAAACTCTTCCGGGTCGGTTTTCAAAGTTCGGGTCAGAATGGTTCGATCCAGATGTCTGGCTTCTCTAACCTCCGTATCTCTGCAAAAAGCGAGATTCAGAGTAAGTACAGGAAAAAATATCTTTTTAAAAAATGGAAAAAAATTTAGAACATTAGAGGTTGGCTCAAATATCTCTGTCTCGAAAGACAAATAGATTCCTTTTTATTTTATTTTTACAATAACCAATAATTGTTATCATAGCCTATAAATTATCAGTGAAAAAAGAAGGATTCTTTGTTTGTTTCCCGAGAAATCAATCTCGATTTCCATCTCCTATTTGTCATCGGAGCTTTTTTCCTTCTACTTCCGAAGGTAAGGTAACTAGATCGGAACTCTTTTCAATTCTGGTTTTTATTCAATTTTTTGTTTGCTTAGGGTTTATAGATTATACATTTACTTGGTTTCTGGGTGTTTTGCATTCTTAAGGATTGCGAATCTTATCTTATCTGAATCTGTGTCTACTTTTGTGAAGTTTTAAAGCTATTTGTGGAACAGCTTTTACTTCTTCCTTTATAGATCTCTTTCCCTCTTGGTTCATAAGAACAAAATCCTTTTTTTTCCCCTACTTTATACGATTCATGACTTTTTCAGCTGAATCGTGTTGGGATCTTGTCTGAATTTGAGTGTTTTAAGATTGGATTGTAACTGGAAATGTCTGTACTAATGGAATCTTATGTGAGATTAAAGGATTAGAGCTCTGAAATCAAGATAGGGTCAGGTCAACGCATAGGGAATAAACTGTTATTGTAACTATTCTTAGTCAATGTTTTCTGTTAAATTGAATCCCATTCTAGGCTCTGTTTTTTTAATGTCTTTTGACATGATTGTATTGAAACAGGAATAAAAGATCAGTCAAGACTCAAGAGTTTGATCTTGGTTGAAAAACCGAGAATGGAAGGAGATGTGTTGTCCGGATTTGGAGACAGACACAATATGGATGGGAAATTGTTGCAGAGTTTCCAGAAGAGCTTTGTGGATGTTCAAGACATTTTGGACCAAAACCGATTATTGATCAACGAGATCAATCAGAACCATGAATCGAAACAACCCGATAACTTGGGTCGAAACGTGGGTTTGATCAAAGAGCTCAACAATAATATCAGAAGAGTAGCTAGCCTGTACGGTGATCTCTCTCATTCTTTTGCAAGATCAGTGGATGCTTCATCAGAAGGTGAATCTAGTGGAACTCTGAAATCTGATGGGAAAGCTAACCAGAAGAGATTTAGATCCGGTTAGTATTGTAACCAAGACCATCAAAGTTTATTATCATAGATTCATACTCAGAGCTAATTGATTGAGAAGGAAGGAGAGTTTTACAAATGTAATCTCTGTTGAAATGAAAGTTTGATTTTCAGATTAAGAGAGTCTTTACTTATCTGTTGGTTTACAAACTGAAGAAACTTGTTGTAAAGTTTACACATTTCGGTCAATGATTCTTCTTCTCTTTTTCTCCCTTTTGGTCCCTCCATTGTGCATGTTGGTTGTTGTGTAGCCTGAGTGATTTTTCATGCGAGTTTTACATGAGTGCAGTATTTTGAACTCTAAGACTAAGACGACACGTATTCGAATCCTGAAGTGTAAGACGGCACGCAGTTATGGTGCACGAGAGTCGGGACGGAACGTAGTTGGCTCTTTTTCGGCAGATATTTCGCGATTCGCTGACGTGGCAACATCTACGAGCTTCCCGCAAAACTATACGGATCCCAATTGGCATTCTCAAATCGAGTGTATAAAAAGCTTTGGAATCCGGACCTGATTAGGGAAAAAAAAGCCGAAAGCGAGCCAAAACAAAAAAATTAAAGCAGAACAAAAAAGTTCCTAAATTTCCAAGCTTTTTGCTTAGTCAAGAAGCCTCTCCTCCGAGAATTCTCGCCGATGAAACTACGAGCACACTGGAAAGTCTAAAACTTTTGGCTTCTCCGTTCGCGTTCTACTTTCTCTGGTAACTCTCGTGTACTTGTTACTGGGTTTTCTGCTTTTCTCGTGACTTTTCATATTTCTAGCCTGAAAATTCAGTGTTGGGTTTGTTTGATTCACTGTATTGCGTGTTTAAACTGAGTAGAATTTACCAAAACTTGATTTTGAGGACTGTGACACGCAAATTCCATTGAAATTTGATACAAGGTAGCTTAAATTTGAAAGCTTTTTGCGTTTTTGAAGATGTACGCAAAAGGGTAAAACCAGAATTTTGCGTATCAGTTTTGCTTATACGGCTTATGCCTTTTTTTTTATTTCAGTTTGTACCCTTGAAGTTTCATTTGGTAGGTTAAACTTCAGGAGCAATGTTTGGAAATGTGGAAGACTATGGAGAGATGTTTCAAGACAGTATTTTTCAGACAAGAAGCGGTTCACTTTCTTCAACAAATCAAATTGGAAACCGTGTTGCGTACAAGCTTGTGCGGGTATGTTCATAAATGTGTATCTCAGATTTATAGAACAGGGAAACATGATGTTTTTGCTATTCCGAGATTTGTGAATTCTTACTACTGCGGTTACAAGTTGTAGCCTTTCAGTATCTTATTTGAGATTGGTTATGTGAATGCATTAGGTTGCAGGAGATGGGACTCTAGTTCCTGCAACTGATGAAGAAATGTTGAAGGTCAAGGATTTGCTTGAGAACAACGAGCATGTTAACGAGCATGATATGCCTGTTTTACCAGAGCCTATACAAACTGAAAAGTACATTGCCGATGAAGGTTCACCTTCTCAGTTTCTGCAGCTAGAAAACTTTGAAGGTTTGGTCCTAATACACGTTGAATCGCTCCTGTTAGAGCCTTTTTCGGTTTAATTTGTCTAATCTGCCTGTATTGAGGAAAAACTAATTCTATACACGCAAAGACGGGTAGAATTTCCTTAGGACTGCACGAAAAGGGTATTTATTGGGTTACTTGCAATGTCGGAGGTCTGACCTGTGTTTTATGTGTAAATATGTGTTTGTGTCTGTAGCTTTCCCTATCTGATGTCTAGGACAGTAGTTCTATTTAAGTATGCAAACATTTGTGAATCTTTGCAATAAATTTTCGATTCTAACTCAGCTTTTGAATCCAGGCTTATTTCAGTCGGAAGCTGCAGAAGCATATACAGAAAATTTGAATTCTCGACATGAGGTTTGTTCACTTTTTTCAAAATCTAGAAACAGAACTTTCTAATATTGTTTCTCATGTATAACTATCTTGGATCAGACGGCTGTTTAATCCATCAATTTTACTCCACCTTTGAAACTTTTGCAGTCTAAAGAGGAATTGATGTATGGAACTCAGATGCTTTTTGCTCTTCCGGATACCAAATTTCAAATTTCTAATGAGCTGCCTGGGAATGTGGAGCAAGTCAAATCCGAAGTTTTGCTGTCAGAACCAATTCTTTTTTCATCAAATGGATGCAGTATGAATCAATCTACGGATGACTTAAATGCTACAGGTAGTCCTAAAGAACCTAAAGAAGCTGCATTGTCAACTGCTGCCTCGAAACCTGAAGTTTCTAGAGTAGCAGGCGAGATATGCTTGGATAATCTTTCAATTAGAGCATTACAAGAAACATTCAGCGCCACGTTTGGTCTCGAAACTACTTGCAAGGACAAACGATGGCTCAAAAGGAGAATCACAATGGGACTGATTAATTCATGTGTAGTTCCAACAACTACCCTGACAATTAATGATAACAAACTGATTGGTGGAGATAAAGATGCAATTGATGCTTTTAGCAAGGATACATTAGATGAAGAAAGAGCTATTGAAAGCAAAGATACACCATCTACTCCTGACTGCATAAAGGGGCATTTAGATGATTTTGGGCATACTCCTGTTGAAACTTTTGTGGACTATTATTCTGGAAACGAAGATTTTGAAGGTGGACAGAGGTCTGCAAAAAGAGTTAGGAAGCCTACAAGGAGATATATTGTAGAAACTTCAGTAACCAATGAAAGACAACAAAGTGACGAGTCAATGATCCCATCAAAAGATCAGAGCTCTATTCAAGCCGTTTCTTCAGGAGGGGGAGTTGTTGTCACCAGGATGGTATCCCTAGCTGGTTCAAGAATTCAGGTTCCCTATGTTTCTCATGGAAGAAGAAGCCGTCCAAGAGAAAACATAATGGCTCTCGGGGTATGTCTTTGTTACTCATGCTCTTCAATATCTTTATTAACCCCATTCCTTTTCATATGAGCTATCAAAATTTTTGTACTTATCTGGCCCGTGCTAGATCTATGCGTATTGTTACACACTGGAAAAAAGGAATATAGAAGAATTCATTATATCGTGTTTGCTGCTGTCAAGGTAATTAAGGATAATGCTGTTTACCTGCACATTTTGTAGGAATTTCATTCCAAGTCATGGGAGGTGAAAGCTACTCCAGACAAGGGAAACCTGAATCTAACCCCATCTCAGTTGAAAAATGATGTGAACCGAGTTCCAGGTGTCAAATCTGCGCCTAAACGCGTCCAGAAAGAAGTAAGACCTCTTTGGCATTTCTATATAACTACATCATTTCAATAATATTGGAGAGATTCTTGTCAATGTATTATCTATTTTGTTGTGATTCTATCTATCCAACGAAGCCTTAAACTTTGAGGGAAATGGTCTCATTTGCTCTGAACTTTATGGTTTTTAGTTGAGATGGCATGTAAAAAAGACTTTGTATAATCATCTACCAGTATATTTTGGATTTCTGGTACGAGACAGTTGCTCATTGCTTTATCTATTTTGGTTATCAGAGCGACAAGGACCATTTAAAACCAATTTTCACTGAGGTGGATCAAGACATGATGGAGCCAGAGCTCTTAGACTCATCTGGAGATAGCTCAGATGATAATTGCGTTGATGTACCAATCACGCAAAGTGCAATTAGAAGGAAGCTTCATCGAGCTTGGACTGTCTCTGAAGTTGAAAAACTAGTCGAAGGTGTGTCCAAATATGGAGTAGGGAAATGGTCTGATATCAAAAGGCTTTCATTTTCACCATACACACATCGTACCTCTGTGGATCTCAAGGTTGGTTCAACATAACTATTAAACTCTCTCATCTCAATATTCTTAATCCTGGTTTGTTTTTTTTTTGGTTTAATCACAAGTGTCTCTTCTGATAGGACAAATGGCGAAATTTACAAAAAGCAAGTTCTTTAAACAGAATGGTTAGCACTTCCCACATGTTTTAACTTAAAAGCAAAATCAATTAACCAATAACTAACTTCGGTTTAAGACTAAACTGGTGAATGGGTGTGTGTTTTGCAGGGAGGAGGTCTTAAGAAACATGGATCAATGGCCATTCCTAGTCACATTATGTTGCAGGTAAGAGAGCTTGCTCAGAAACAATCACCAATTTCACCTGTAGAAAGCAAGGCTAGAGTGAAGAGATCAAGATCAAGAAACGGTTTCTTGTAGCGTTCTTTTTCTCGTATAAATTTACTACCGTGGATGTGAGATTAACTGCTCTGTTTTACTTTTAGATTTTGTAGACTTTTGTAGTTTTTAAGGTAGCTTTTGTGATTTTAACAGAATCACTAACTGACTGGTGTTTGGAATTCTCAATTGCTGGTATGAACGCTTCTCTCTAAACTACCAAACCAAAACAAACTAGATTATCAAATTCCACAACAAACGTATGACTAAAGAATTTACTAAACCAGCATTTCATTTTCACATCAATAAAATGCAACGTTTCACACCGTATTAAACGCAGCGTTTCACAAGAACAAGATAATAAGCATCGAAATGGAAAAAGGCCTTCTGGGCTCTAAGATAAAGTAAATTGGCCCATAATCCTTTTGTGCGGCGCCCTATTGCAATCGTGCTCTCTCTCCTCTCTCCATCTCTCGCTCTCTCTCTTCGCCGGAGATCGCCTTCACCAATCTCCACTGTGAGTCGCACATCAAATTTTCCAACTTGTTCATGCAAAGACTTTGATGTATTGTAAAATCGCTTATCTTCATATGTTTCCTGCATTTCGAGCTCGTTTACTGGAATTTATTGTGGGAATTGATGTCCCAACATACGTTTTTTGTTCGATTAGACGTAAAGAGCTAATTTAAGCAGAATAATTAATCCAAAAGCTTTATATGCTTATGGATATTCTTTGGGTTTGATTTAGCTCTTTAGTTACCAGTCTGAAGTTTTTTGTTTGAGTTATTGTTTAAATGTTTGTTATTATCATATTCTGTGAACTCTCTGATTGTCGTTACGTTTCTGATTCTCAGTCTATTGATAAGTAACAATCTTTGTCCTTTACTCTATCCACAGATAGTAGCAAGAACAAGTGAAGCAAAATGGGGATCATCGAAAGGATTAAAGAAATCGAGGCCGAGATGGCTCGGACTCAGAAGAATAAAGCTACAGGTTCTCTTTTTACATATAGAATATGCAATTATAGGCATGGGACTTATCAGTTTCATTTGGTTCACCTTTACTAGACGAAATTAGATCACAAACTCTACGCCTGTATAGTTAAATTAAACAGATTGCGAGCCTCTAGAATACATTATAGATACTTAAAGCCGATTTTTCCAAATAATCACTTTGACAAGTTTCTGTCGCTGCTTCTGTTCTCCTTTTCTGATCTAACATTTGTTAAAAGTGACAGAATGATTGTCAGCTAATTGATAATGGTCTGCTTGATGAACAGAGTATCATCTTGGTCAACTCAAGGCAAAGATTGCAAAGCTCAGGACACAACTGTTGGAGCCTCCAAAAGTAATGCAAGCTCTTTATGAAATAATAAACCATTAGCCTATGCGCTTATTTGAAGCTTGTTTGTTCCTTTCTTACTCGGGTTATCGTTATAGTTTTCCTTGTTGTTGATGTATCTGTATGTTTACTACTGAGATAGACGATGAGTAACTGCTTTATTCGTCACCTTAGCTTATCTATTTAAGGCTATAATCTACTGAAGAATTTCCTGCTATGTGACCAAGTTTACAAATCTATTGTGCTTGTACCTGAAGTAGAGTTTCAAATATTTTTTCATTACTGCTTTCAGTTGGTAATTGTCTTCCTAATTCTTTAACAGGGTGCTAGTGGAGGCGGGGAAGGTTTTGAAGTTACCAAGTATGGTCATGGACGTGTTGCACTTATAGGATTTCCAAGGTAATGTCATAAAAATACTTATACTCACAAAGATCCATTTACAAATTATTTCCTGTTTTGTAAAGTTATGTTGCTCCTTTAGAAATTGCTGACTTAAGTTTGGGGAAACTAATGGAAGTGGTTGTACTTTGCAGTGTTGGAAAGTCCACGCTTTTGACTATGTTAACTGGAACACATTCTGAAGCAGCCTCATATGAATTTACAACACTTACATGCATCCCTGGCGTAATTCACTACAATGACACAAAGATTCAGCTTCTCGATCTTCCTGGGATTATTGAAGGTGCTTCGGAAGGAAAGGGGCGAGGAAGGCAGGTTGAAATCCAATTGCTTTCTTTTCTTGTTGGTTATCTGATTTCTTTTTGGATGCTCAAGTTATAGATTTATGATTAATTCCCAAGTTTTTCGCCTATCAAAAAAAGATAATCAAGATGATACAAACTTTGGTTATGACTGCTTATTTCTCAGGTTATTGCTGTTGCAAAGTCTTCCGACCTTGTATTGATGGTTCTTGATGCCTCAAAAGTAAGTTACAGTTTATCTGTCCACGTGAATTGGTATATTGTTGTCAATCTGCACTCGTCTATTAATCTTATTATTTGCTCTTTGAAATTTGTTAGAGTGAAGGCCACAGGCAAATACTGACTAAGGAACTTGAGGCAGTGGGCTTGCGGCTAAACAAAACTCCTCCGCAGGTAAAGCTTGTCTTATCAGAAGTGTCAAATTATCGATGTGTCATCTAATACTCTGAAGTCGAAACTCCTTCTGTTTTACTTGATATGCTTCATTCAGAAACTTGGTTTTTTGTGGAATTTTATTATGTAATCTTTGCTTTGTTGTGTTCAACAGATATACTTTAAAAAGAAAAAAACTGGTGGAATCTCTTTCAACACTACAGCACCCTTGACTCACATTGATGAGAAGCTCTGTTATCAAATCCTGCATGAATACAAGATTCACAATGCTGAGGTACGTGCTTCCAACTTTATTCTTGCATTAGTTCAGCCTCTTTTCCTGACTTTTCTTGTCTTGTCTGAGTGTTATGAGTAGAATTATTAGAATTCACAGACATTTTTGAGTATATTTAAAGCTTTCTTATGGTAGTTTCTACTGTGGTGGTGAGTATTGCAGGTGCTTTTTCGTGAGAATGCCACAGTGGATGACTTTATTGATGTCATCGAAGGCAACCGCAAATATATTAAGTGTGTATATGTCTACAACAAAATAGATGTTGTTGGAATTGATGATGTGGATAGACTGTCCCGGCAGCCAAATTCCATTGTTATTAGCTGCAATCTTAAGGCAAGTTTTGTAACATTTCCAAAGAGTAATCACCTGCAAGGATGGAAAATGCTAAAACTCCAATTTGTTGCTGTTCTAGGTTTCCGTTTTCATTCTGAGTTTGATATTTGCCAACTTTTTTGATAATTTACTGCTGCTTGAAACAGCTTAACTTAGACAGACTACTTGCAAGGATGTGGGACGAAATGGGCCTTGTGAGAGTTTACTCGAAGCCGCAAGGCCAGCAACCAGATTTCGATGAGCCTTTTGTCCTTTCATCTGTAAGTGTATTCTTTCTTGTTGCAAGATAACCCTTGATACTCTTCCCATATCTATGATATTCATCTTTGATTTTGTGTGATTCATCAGGATCGAGGTGGCTGCACAGTGGAAGACTTCTGTAACCACGTCCACAGGACTCTAGTGAAGGATATGAAGTATGCACTCGTTTGGGGCACAAGCACAAGGCACAATCCTCAGAATTGTGGTCTTTCTCAACATCTTGAAGACGAAGATGTTGTTCAGATCGTCAAGAAAAAGGTACATAAACGAAAATCTTTCCATTGGCATAGACTCTCGTTCAAATCTATGAATTTTGATCTATGTTCCTTAATGAGACTAGCTAAACTTATACTACTGATTCTGGAATCTTTAGGAGAGAGATGAAGGAGGAAGAGGCCGGTTCAAGTCACACTCAAACGCCCCTGCTAGAATTGCAGACCGAGAGAAGAAAGCTCCTCTTAAGCAATAAGCTTTTAGCTGATAAGTGATTGCCATACACCCATGTCCACCATCCATAGTCTTGGATGGTTTCACCTGAGTAAGATTTACTATGTTGTATCTGAATCCTTTTTGTTTGTTCTCTCACAATATAAGTTTTCAAACCATTTTTCTTTTTGAGAATACAAATGGAAGTATAAGTTCCTAGTTATCCTTTTTCGTAAGCTATGTTTTTGATATTTGTTCACAAGTCTTCCTCTATTTCTTGAAATATTCAAAAGCATCCATATGGAAGGTTTAACAAACAACTCAAAACAATATCGACTCTGATTCCAAGTTATAGAGAAGTGGCCTAAGTAGCCAAATTACAAGCTCAAATAACTCTCATCAATATTCTTATATGTAAACGGTACACAGAAGCTGTTTCTGTATCTATAGTTCGTGTATATGTTTCACAGGAACCGTTCCTGAAACAAGACAAAATATAAACCAACAGGCTGTTGAAAATGGCTTGACAAGAATCATCATGGCTCGCTCTTTTAGCTTCTCTGGCTCTTGGCCCAGACATGTCTTCCAGTTACTATCCCCGGTGGGTATAGATCAGTACACTGGTCTGAACCAGCACTGCGTCTTGCATCTCCGTTGCAAGATAATCCTGATTGTCTCTGCTTGGCTTGAGTAGATTGCGTCAGGCTCATATAGCTCGGCTTTCGATAGTACCCACCACCATCAAGAACACTGCTGGAGAATGCAACTGGTGACTGAGATGTCGATGATGTTGATGTCTCATCGTGTAAAGAATCATAACTCGTGCCAGACGAAACCGGAGGAAGAAGAAGAGGAGGTCTAGCAAGAACTCTAGTTGAAGAAAGATTGTTCTTCCTGACTTTTACAGTTTCATATTCAGATATTACACTGCTCTCACTACTTTTCCTTGAAAATGTCCCAACATCTTCATACCAGTTCCAACCAGGACTGCTCTTGCGAGAACCATGATGCGTAATCGTTCTTCCGCTTGGACTTGGACACGTCCTCGACTGCCAAAACAAAACTCATCAGACTTTATTACAATCAGCGAAACACTCTGAATTTCTGTTCTGAAAACACATTAACCAACCTGATGTGTGAGGGCATAAACCATAGCTCTCTCTCTCTTAATAGCCCCTTCTTGCTTCATCTGTAACTTTGTTTTCACTTCCTTTATACTTCTGGGGCTACCACACCAACCCTTCTGTAAAAACATCAACCAGATTCACATATTTTGAAGTAATGATCAATAGGCTTTACTCAAAACTCCAGCAAGTTTTCGATTTATATTTACCTCAGTCTGCTTTACAGGATCTTTTAGCTCAATAGAGTCTGAAGGCGCTCTACGATGAGCTCTTACACGAGACTGAACACGAACAAGAGCTTGCATACACCTGAGTGTAACGGCAGCTTGTTTCCTAACTTGTCTGCCACGAAAAATTGCCTGAATTCTCACTACAGCCTTCAGAGCTCTAAACGCCTGTCTCGCCTGAAAAGAGAAAACAAACACACAGAAGATTTAGAGGCAAGAATAACAAACAAAACAATGATTAAGCAGACCGAAATGATCAAATCACAACAAGAAGCTCATTTAACTACGAGATTAGTCAAGAATTCACATACAAGGAAAGCACGAAAAGCAGCCTGGATTCTTGTTGAAGCCCATTCTCGCTTAACCATCAAAAAATCCTTTGGAGGAGCTCGAATGAGAGCTGCCATGGCCGTAGTAAAAGCCTCATCAGCCGAGAAAGACGGTGGCTCTGAGCCAAACGAAGAAGCTGCATAGCTTCCTCGGCTCTTGAAAGAAGAAGATGTGAAGCTCTCCGATGAAATCCTCCACAGCTTCCATTTCTTCTTGCTGCTCTTCTCACTTAACTTCTCCTGCTGCACAATTAACAGAGAGTGAGAGAGATCAATGTTTGGTATAGTAAGAAGAAACCACAAAGATCGAGGATTTTTAAATTACCTGATCATTTACTGGTTTTCTGTGAGATATTAGTGATCTAATCCAACTTCCTGACCCACCCATCTTCTCAAATCGAGACCTTGGTTTTCGAATTCTACAAAAAATCACAACTTCAGAAGCTATTGATTCAAAAATTGGAAGCTTTAGAGCTGCAATGTGGGAAAAGCAGAAAGATTGTTTCTGGGAATTTGGTTGTGTTGATTGAGATTGATGTTGACAAAAGTTTGCAGTGTTAAAAAGGAAGAAGAAGAGAGAGAACTTTTGAATTTTGAAATTTTGGGGGTACGAAAGCAATTTCTTAAAATAACGGCAAAACTTTAGGTTTTTTTTTCTCTTTAATAATATTTGTTCCTGAAATTCTCTTAAACCCCCTCCAGTTTTCTTTTCTCAGGTTTAACCCCATAAATTATTAGATTAGGATACTCAATCATTTTAGTGTCGGGTCGGGTCGGGTCGAGTTTCCGCATTAACCGAGTCGGTTCGATCTACTCGTTAATCTGTTATTAGATCGGACGGTTCACATTATTTCATCTCTTAACCCAACAAATTCGTCAAGCTAGAGATTTCAAGAACTCAAACACAACAAGATCAAAGAAGGAAACCAGGAAGAAGAACATCCATGGCGGAACCAAAACAAAGCTCTCTTTCTGGTAACACCGACTCTTTGATGTTATCAATTTCACGGATATATAGTTTTTTTTTGTTTCATCGCTTATTAATTTGTCTAATTCGCTTTATCGAATTTAGGGTTTCTATATATGTGATCGAATCACGGAACTTTTGGGTTATTTAGGTTTCTGTGAAAGATGGTTAATTTGGCCGAAAAGACGAATCTTTTTATTAATCTCATTGATCGTTTCTGTTTCTGGGTTTTGGTTTTTTTTTTTCAGAGGTGGAGACAAATGTGATTGGAAGCAGTAAAGAAGAGAAAGAATCGATGTTTCATGGGAAAGAGACTCATGGAAGAAGTGAAGACATTGACGAGAAGACAAAAGTTGATGATGTTAAAGGACCTGGTGTTCTCGGGCGTATGAAGGAAGAAATGGAAGCCATTGTTGACGCTGTTACTCCTAACAAAAGTTCTGACAAGTAGATGATTAGTATCACTGCTTGTTCCTAAGATTTGGACACAAACTATATACATCTTTGTGTAAGAACTGTAACCACCCCTTTTGCTTAATAAAAAAAAACACGAGCTTTTAGATTCTTGCCAAAACCATATCATCTTTGAGAGTGGAGACTCAGCACCAGACTGAAGAGTATAGATTCCTTGTGGATATTTGTAAGGGAATTTGTGATCTACCAAAGTTTGAGTTTTACCATCTTCAAGCTAATTCTGAATGAAAAGGTTGGAGATTCCTAATGAAAATCGTATGTATTCAACCAAAGAACTAGGTGAAGGGTAAGTCCTTTCCTTTGTCTTGAAACTTATCATTTCACATTCTCTATTTGGATGAAGGATCTGGATACTGTAATTAGTGAGCATGCAATAGACTATCCTTAATTATACTATTCATGAAAGATCACTTTCTGCTGGGGTCTAGAGAGTTAATTCATTTGTTGTCTTGATTCTTGAATCTTGAATTCGGATTATTCCCAGTATATATGTACCAAACATGAAGTTAGTCATGATCTCAACTTACAGAAGCAACTTGCAGGACATGTGTAAACCAAAAAGAATAACACACATACTAATTAGTTACTCAGCCAGCTAGAACATTAGTCTATATCGTGGGCCTAAATCGTGGAACATGTAAAACTGCTTAGTCGTTTTGTTTGGTATACAAGACCATTCTGCGCAATTTCATTTTTTTTTTTTTTTTTGGTCGAAAGAGTACATTTTTGGTATTCCTTCGTTTTATAAGATGATCATCAACTGATATCAAATATTTTTTTCCTTTTTTTTTAAACTGAAATCAAATAGATTTGTGAAACTCTGTTTTTTAATAATGGAATCGGTGTTTGTACCAATCAGATTTATTGATTCTTCGTATGTTGTCATCCTCTTGACATCATTACCTTTTCTTCTAACGGAATCGGTATTTCTTTGAACCATTTAGATTTATTAATTCTTCGTATGTTGTCATCATCTTGACATTATTATTTTAGGGTTATTGAAGTTAATATATGAAATCTTTTGATACTTCCTTATCTTTCCACTAGTCGACCAAATGAGAAGAAAAAAAAAACACGGCGAAAGAAAGAAGAAAACACACACAAAAGCAAGCACACCCTAATATTTTTAAGTCAGCAAATGGTCCAATCGTTTTAAGCTTTGGTGTTGGAAAGGAAAAGAGAAGAGAGTGACATAGGGACTTTAAGATTGGCAAAATACCAAAAACCAAACACATCATTTTTGTTTCGTGTCTCTTAGTTTTGTCTTAATGCTCTTGTCACGTCAATGTGGTGTTTTTTTTGCTTTGTGCATGTGTTTTTGGATATTTGAACATTCCCATCACAAACATCTAAACAAAGTCAACAATTGTCACCATTATCACATTTACTTTAAAGAGAAAATTGGTCCATTATATTAGCTCTTTTTTTCTTGCAAATTCTAATGATTAAGTGCAATGATATTATTTCCAACCACTTGACTGTCCAAACGAAAATTAGGTGATCAAAAGCTCTTCAAGTATTTTCTATCGATTAGGAAATTCGGATTTATTATATTATTTACAGTTACTTTAGAATCTCGGATGTGCAGCACGCATTTTGAAAGTTCATAAAATTGTATTTTAGTTGTAATGACTAATGAGATTTGAATTCATAGTATCAACTATCAAGCATCAACATAATGTTATAATTTCCAATTTGCTATTATTAGAAAATGGAGCTTATTACTACCTAGCTTGTTCTTTTTAGTTGTGGTAAATTTATATGTAAGCAAATGACCAAACTAAGCTATCAAAATGTGAAACTATTAAATTTTGATATACGTGCTCATTATAGGCCACTATATCAATCAAAGAAACAGTTTAATAAATGAAATTTAATAATTCTTTGAATCTTCATCATCAATATGGGTGTCCCTTTGTTTTGTCACATTATGATCACAGTGCGACATACCCATATGAAACTGAAATGCATACTATAAACGTATTCAATTAAAAATATATCCAACTGCATGTTGAAACAAAAAAAGAAAATGTCTTAAAATGGATAAAGAGTTATGGGACGCCACTATGTGAGTACTCTCTCACGTTTTTATATGTGGCCCGTTCGATTTCTTAACGACCCTAAATGTATTTCTGTGGAAAAGTCAAACAAATCAACGGCCAATGCTACTTGATATTTAGGTGAAATAGCAATTGTCTCTAATTACATTACAAGGTTTTGTCTGAACTCCGAATCATGTGCATCTTATCTTATCTACTCAAATCAAAATATATCTCGGCTTTAAGAGGACACTATTACTACCTCCTCTATAATTACACTGTTTTCCATGTTTCCATGTTTCATCTAATCAATATAACAACCTTTGTTATTTTCTCGTTTTTTAATGTAATAATTTTGGAATGAAATAATGATATCATAAACAGAAACCAACTACTAGATATAATTTAAAATGCTTTAATTTTATAAAATCAGTGTTTTTATATGTAATTTTTACTCCTATAATTCTCCCAATAACCTAGAATCATTTTGAAAATTTAAATAATGAAGGGATATTATATAAAACAAAAAGGGTCGAAGAGAATAAGTAAAATAGTGGAAAGTAGGTCAATGTGGTGCACGGGAAAGGGAAGTACATAATACTAGTGATGGGCGAAAAACTCGATAAAGGTTAATGGAATCATGGTGGTGAGATCCCATGTGATTATCCTTCCAACCTAAGTTTACTTTTAGTATGAATTTCTTACTCATAATTGATCATTTATTCACTATTACATTTGAAATATATACATAAAATCCATTTGCTAAAGTATAAACAACAGAAAAAGACGTTTGGATGAGGATTACTGATAGATATATTGAGCCATGCTTGATTTGGCAAGTGGCAGTCTTTTTAACTGTTTTCTTCATTCAATTTGTCCATACATTTGCCGTTTGGATGCAACACCATGCAATGTCATGTCTCCATCTACCATCATACTTTCATATCATTCCATTTTGAAAATATATATATTGGGACCAGAAAAAAGAAATAGGCAATAAAATATTTACTTATAGAGTGTAATATGCAAGTGCCAATAAACATGTGACCAATAAACGAAACATACATGTTAAAAAGATTACAAAAACGGTGCGGATTGGTTCAATCCACTTCCCCGCGATCTCGCTTCGTAAAAAGAAAAGGAGTTTCTGACACGTCATCATCATCTCCCAATGCTAAGAAATGGCTAAAATACATGATTCCAAAAGCAACACTTTTTTCTTTAGGGGGAAAATGGTAATTATAAATCTTATAAAATTTCAAAATACAAAAATGTACCTAATAAATACAAAGACTTTTTAAACTAATTGAAAATGTCAATAATAAAGAGATGTCGGCATTAATTGAATGATTTAAAATAATACTAATACATCAAATTTTTTTTTTAACTTACACAAAATTGAGTGGAACAAGTGTTTTTATTTGTTTGTTTGACCAATCAAAGAGAGTGATCCCAATTGATTGAATGGGAAAAATATGACCAGTCCATTTACATTATATAATTCTACAACTATTAGTATTTATTTTTTCTATAAAATATTTGTAATCAAAGAATCAGTCCATATTTGATCACGATTTATCATTTATCTGCAAATGGTAGTAATATTTTTTGCAGCTAAATTACAATTTGGTGATCATTATTAACTTTTTAAAATTCAGTGGTGGCTTTATTTTTGGTAGATTTAGTGATAGTGTTTCTACAAAATAACATATAAAAAAAAAATAGTAAAAAAATATTTCTTAAAATGAAGAAGTCGGAGAAGAAGCATCACCGAAAGATCGTTGGTACTGATTCAAAATTTCTCAGTCTTAAGCAATAAGCAAACAAAGAAAATCGAATTCAAAAAGACAAATCAAATCTGTGTCTTTTCTCTAAAACCCTGTGTTGCTTGCTACTACGTCTCTGGAGAAAGTCAAATTATCTGAGAGAGAGAGAGAGAGAGAGAGAGAAAGTTTCTTCATTTTGGTTCCGTCTTGATCTGCCATTGTCATCATCAAAGTTCTCAGCTCATAATCAGCTTCTCTCTGAAATGAGTTTATGTTAATTCGTCCTGTTACCAGCGGTAATTTCTTGGTGTCTACCCAGATTTTCTCCGTCCAAGATCTCCATTTCTTGAGAGTCAAAGTTGTTGTTACTTGTTTTGAAGATCTTGGACTAGCTTTTCAAATGCGTTTGAATTTAAAGTTTCATTTTTTTTTTAATTTCCGAGTTTCTTGCTAGATTTGAAATCCAAAATGTTAATTGGTCCACTAAATTTGATTCGAGATTACTGACTTGTCTACACTTTTTTCTCTTTCAAAAGTATGATTTGTTTTCCATAATTATATATTTTCGTTCATAAAGATCGAATCTTTATATGCTAAGGAAAAATCTAATTGTGTTTTGGGTTTAATCTTCTGTACAGACCAGCATTTACTGGGGATATGAGACATTGAGCACATTTGAGAATCTTGATGAAGAAAAAGAGTTCTTGATAAAGATTCTGTATTTGTTCTTGAGCTGAAGTTCTCGAGGGAATGGCACGAGGTAGAATAAGGTCAAAGCTGAAACTGAGCAATATATACACATTTGGATGTCTTAGGCCAAGTGCAGATGAAGGTCAAGATCCTCACCCTATCCAAGGTCCAGGATTTAGCAGGACTGTGTACTGTAATCAGCCTCATATGCACAAGAAGAAGCCTTTCAGATACCGTTCTAACTATGTTTCTACCACCAGGTACAATATGATCACCTTCTTTCCCAAGTGCCTCTACGAACAGTTTCACCGTGCTGCCAATTTCTACTTCTTGGTAGCTGCCATTCTCTCGGTCTTCCCTCTTTCCCCCTTCAACAAATGGAGCATGATTGCTCCACTGGTGTTTGTTGTTGGGCTCAGTATGTTAAAGGAGGCTCTTGAAGATTGGAGCAGGTTTATGCAAGATGTGAAGATCAATGCCCGGAAAGTTTATGTTCATAAAAGCGATGGCGAGTTTCGTCGCAGAAAGTGGAAAAAGATTAGTGTTGGGGATATTGTAAAAGTTGAGAAGGACGGGTTTTTCCCTGCTGATTTGCTCTTGTTGTCGTCTAGTTACGAGGATGGGATTTGTTATGTAGAGACTATGAATTTAGATGGTGAGACGAACTTGAAAGTGAAAAGGTCCTTGGAAGTAACATTATCGCTGGATGACTACGAATCTTTCAAGGATTTCACGGGGACTATAAGGTGCGAAGATCCAAACCCGAGTCTTTACACATTTGTTGGCAATCTTGAGTATGAGCGGCAGATATTTCCACTGGATCCAAGTCAGATTCTGTTAAGAGATTCAAAGCTTAGGAATACACCTTATGTTTATGGAGTGGTGGTATTCACAGGGCATGATACTAAGGTGATGCAGAACTCAACAAAATCGCCTTCGAAAAGGAGCAGAATCGAAAAGACAATGGACTATATCATCTACACGCTTCTCGTCCTACTTATTTTGATCTCTTGCATAAGTTCATCGGGATTTGCTTGGGAGACAAAGTTTCACATGCCGAAATGGTGGTACTTGAGACCTGAGGAGCCTGAGAACTTAACCAATCCAAGTAATCCTGTTTATGCTGGAGTTGTCCATCTGATCACTGCCCTCTTGCTGTACGGATATTTGATACCGATCTCTCTTTATGTCTCCATTGAGGTTGTGAAAGTGTTGCAAGCATCTTTCATCAATAAAGATTTACACATGTATGATAGTGAGAGTGGGGTTCCAGCACACGCACGCACATCAAATCTAAACGAAGAGCTAGGACAAGTGGATACTATCCTTTCTGATAAAACAGGAACTCTGACTTGTAATCAGATGGATTTTCTGAAATGCTCAATTGCTGGCACTTCTTATGGAGTACGTTCCAGTGAAGTCGAAGTTGCTGCTGCACAGCAAATGGCTGTTGATCTTGATGAGCACGGAGAAGTATCCAGTAGGACAAGTACTCCAAGGGCTCAGGCTCAAGAAATTGAGGTAGAAAGTAGCATTAATCGTAGAATTCCTATAAAGGGTTTTGGTTTCGAGGATATCCGGCTAATGGATGGGAATTGGTTGAGAGAGCCACATACAAATGACATTTTGCTGTTCTTTCGCATATTAGCTATTTGTCACACAGCTATTCCCGAGCTTAACGAGGAGACTGGCAAGTACACTTATGAAGCAGAGTCACCAGACGAAGCTTCTTTTCTTACTGCTGCTAGTGAGTTTGGTTTTGTGTTCTTTAAGAGAACCCAATCAAGCGTGTATGTTCATGAAAGGTTATCTTCTTCAGGACAAACGATTGAAAGGTGAGACTTCTTAGAGATCTATTCTTAATTCTTTGATTATTGGTTTTAAATACACATCCTGAATGTGTACCAGAAACAATGCAGGGAGTATAAAGTTCTGAATTTGTTGGACTTCACTAGCAAACGAAAGCGAATGTCTGTAGTTATACGTGACGAGGAAGGGCAAATTCTTCTGCTATGCAAAGGAGCTGACAGGTTAGAAGAAAAGCTAGATAGATATAATCCATTTGATTTTCAACCTTCATGTATATTTGAAGCAGTTTCTTGTTAAAACATTTTTGCAGTATCATTTTTGAGCGACTGGCTAAAAATGGGAAAGCATACTTGGGACCTACCACTAAGCATTTAAATGAATATGGAGAAGCAGGACTCCGTACTCTTGCACTTTCATACAGAAAGCTTGACGAGGAAGAATATTCATCTTGGAACGCTGAGTTTCACAAGGCCAAAACTTCTATAGGTTCTGATAGAGATGAGTTGCTTGAGAGGATATCGGATATGATCGAAAAAGACCTTATTCTTGTAGGTGCAACTGCTGTGGAGGACAAACTCCAGAAAGGGGTATATATATCAGACAAGACACCTTAGTTTCCATCTCCTCCATCTTGGTTTTGTGAAATTGAGTTTTCTTTTTCATTTGACTTAGGTGCCCCAATGCATTGATAAACTTGCCCAAGCTGGCCTCAAATTATGGGTTTTAACTGGGGATAAGATGGAAACAGCAATTAACATCGGGTTAGAACGACTTCAATACCTTGAAGCAGATTTATTTTTGAAGTTCTTTGACCAACTGACCTTTTTGATTTGAACTGCAGATATTCGTGTAGTTTACTTCGGCAAGGCATGAAACAGATATGCATAACTGTGGTGAACTCAGAAGGAGGATCTCAAGATGCAAAAGTAATATGGAGCTAAAATCATTTCCCTTTCTTAATCACAAAGGACCTACAATTTGAAGTTTCAAATTGATATATTTGTTGATGTAATCAGGCTGTGAAGGACAATATTTTGAATCAAATCACAAAAGCTGTGCAAATGGTGAAGCTGGAGAAAGATCCACACGCTGCATTTGCTTTGATCATTGATGGGAAAACCCTAACGTATGCATTGGAGGATGAGATGAAGTACCAGTTTCTTGCTTTGGCGGTCGATTGTGCGTCAGTCATTTGCTGTCGTGTGTCTCCAAAGCAGAAAGCTTTGGTATTTTCCCCCTTCCATTATGCCCATGTATATGAACACGTTGGCATCATGAGTTTCCTTTTATTTATTTTTGTTTCAAAAATTTTCCCAAACCAGGTAACGAGGTTAGTTAAAGAGGGAACCGGGAAAATCACATTGGCAATAGGTGATGGTGCGAATGATGTTGGAATGATTCAAGAAGCTGACATTGGTGTTGGAATTAGTGGGGTTGAAGGAATGCAGGTTAGTATGGTCTCTCTAGAATGTCTTTTTAGTGTTCCCAACTTGTAGCAAATGTACAATGATTAATCCTTTCCTGGCATTTCTTTTACTGATTATTATGCTTTTGCAGGCTGTTATGGCAAGTGATTTTTCTATTGCCCAGTTCCGTTTTCTTGAAAGATTGCTCGTCGTTCATGGACACTGGTGCTACAAAAGAATAGCTCAAATGGTAGATGTGTTTACAAGATGCCTTCTAATTCCAATGCATCCTATTTTACTCTTTTCCACGTTTTTGGTTTCTAACATATATTGTTCTGCATCCAGATCTGCTATTTCTTTTACAAGAACATAGCATTTGGTCTCACTCTCTTCTATTTTGAGGCTTTCACCGGGTTTTCTGGGCAATCAGTATATAATGACTACTACCTATTACTCTTCAACGTCGTCCTTACTTCATTGCCTGTGATTGCCCTTGGAGTCTTTGAACAAGATGTTTCCTCTGAGATCTGTTTACAGGTAAGGTTTACTAAGCTGCTGTGAGAAGTCAAACTTAAAACTTCTATGAATTTCTCACTCGCCACAAAATAACTCTTTCTTTTGTTCTGCAGTTTCCTGCGTTGTACCAACAAGGGAAGAAAAATCTCTTCTTTGACTGGTATAGAATACTTGGGTGGATGGGAAATGGTGTGTACTCCTCCCTTGTAATATTCTTCCTCAACATTGGAATCATTTATGAGCAATCTTTCAGAGTCAGTGGCCAAACTGCTGACATGGATGCTGTTGGTACTACCATGTTTACCTGCATTATTTGGGCTGTGAATGTGCAAATCGCTTTGACGGTGAGTCACTTCACTTGGATCCAACACGTCTTGATCTGGGGAAGCATTGGTTTATGGTATCTGTTTGTTGCGCTCTACGGGATGATGCCGCCAAGTCTTTCAGGCAACATCTATAAAATTCTAGTGGAGATACTTGCTCCTGCACCCATATATTGGATGGCCACATTTTTGGTCACAGTGACCACAGTCCTCCCTTACTTTGCCCACATATCTTTCCAAAGATGCTTAAATCCGTTGGATCATCACATCATTCAAGAGATAAAATACTACAAGAGAGATGTGGAGGATAGAAGAATGTGGACACGGGAGCGTACAAAAGCACGGGAGAAGACAAAGATTGGATTCACAGCTAGAGTTGACGCGAAAATCAGACACCTACGGTCAAAGCTCAATAAGAAACAGTCAAATACGTCACAATTTTCAGCTCAAGATACAATGTCCCCAAGATCAATATAGCTTCTGGGGCTTCCTCAGTATCAGGTTCATGGATGGAGGTAGCCTGTGGATTTTGATTTCAGACTGGTGAGACAGGTCTAGATGCTGTTGTGTGTGTATGAGAACATGGAAGAAAGTAAAAAAAAAATAGTGGGAGCTGGTGAAAGTAGCTGACTGACGTTTGGGGTTCTTTTTGTTGTATCAGAAACAGAAACTATACAAAGATTTTTTTGTGTATACTTAGGACAGATTGCAACACCAAAAAATGTATCCATCCTCCTTTTGTACGTCTGTCGAAAAGTTGTTTGTGACAGACAAAACATATTTTTCTCATGGTTCTCGATTGCTACTAGTGATTCAGAGAATGTTTGATAGAAGAAAACATATGAAAAAAAATTTGATCTTCTGGATTTATATTGTGATTCATACAACAACTAATTGTTGAAGAAATCCAACAAAAAAAAACAAATTAGAAATGCAAAAGCTTGATGATGGAAACAGAGGAATTACTTCTTGGATCGAGCGGTGTTTGGTTTTTTAGAAGATTCTACTCCAGTTTTGCGACCCTCGAGTAACTTCATGGTCTCACCGATCCCTACCCTGTCTTCACCAGACAACATTTTCGTAAGCTTCTCCTCTGTGAAATCACCCTTCTTCGTCAACCGACCCTAGAGAAACGCAACAAGTTACTCATCATCACTCTTAAAAGAGATATTTCATCGAACAGGTGGTGGACTGTTTCAAAAAAGCCAAAATTCTGTATTCCGATTAACGATCTTAGAAATCAGAACATCGATTGGGGTGATTTATCTTACCTGAGCAAGTCTGATGTACTTGGAGATTAATAAATCGGATTCCGAGCGACGAATCTTGGGAATACCCAGAAATGATCCTACACCGGAAGATGGAGACACCGGTGCCGAAGATGTGGCTGAGAACTGTTTCTGTTGGAACTTCCTCGCCGCCGCAGTCGCCGTTCTCAAAACCTTTCCCGCTTTGATCGCCATTGACAAACACGACTATGCACTCTCTCTCACCTTCCTTAAATGGTAGATGTAATTTGTAATTTGTAATTTTCAGATGAGCAGATTCTTAAAAAAGAAAGACTCTTAAACCACCCTACCACTATTTTTTTCGGATCAATTTTAACCCCGTAACTTTAATCTGTACCAATTTTTACCCATACTATAAAATCTGAATTTCATAATAACGCTGAAAAACGAAAAGAAGAAGATTTTGTTTTGTCTATTAAGATATAATATTGTATTGAAAATTCTAATACATTCACCTAATTGATTTTCCACCTTGGTTTATTGAACTTCTTGGGGATGGCAAAACTCAAGTATCAGCAAATACTTAAGTATCGAAAGGTAAGTTAATGTAAGGGTATGTTTAATCAATTTTAAGAGGATTTTAATTTGCGTGACGCTCAAGAGCTACAAACGCCGTCGTTCTTTAAATTTTAGATTTTCCAAGACTTAAAAAAATCTGATTTATAAAAAGCATACAAGAAACAAATTTCACACGATCCTTTCCAAACCACACAAGCCATTTTATGTTTTGACTAACTACTCAACTATCTATTTTTATGATAAATGAAAGAAAGTTAGTGTTATTATTTGTCCCAAACAGTTCCTAAGTTGGTAATGTATCATCAAAAACAAAGGAAGAAGAGAATGCAAGCTAATAGCCTATTACTATTAGTAATATATACCAAAAACCAAAGAGCGTCTGATGATGAAACTCCAAAGATTCTGTGCTGCTTCTTTTGTTCCATCAACCTCCTCAATTTAAGTACATAATCTTTCCCTGACTACCTGCAATAGAACAAATCTCAAACAAATCAGACACCAAAAATCCCTAAAAAGACTTCGAGACTGAGAATACTGTCATGTTAAAAAATTTATTTACATTCTTCGTGCATCTCTCTCGCTATCACTAGCATATCATCAGCAACTTCTGCCAGTTTTATCAATCTGTATATCTCTTCTGAAGCTCCTTTCGACACATCTAATTTGTTCTCCACTTCCACGAGCTTATAAGCTGCTGTTATTGAAGCTTCAGCAACCATCTGCTGTGAAATAGAGGGTCCTTGACTGTTTGCCTGCTGCCGGGCTTTCGTGTTGCTCTCTTTTGGTCTCGCTACAAGTGTTGGTCTTGTTACCAAGCTATTATCATTCATCTTATAGAAGTTCTGTGTCTGTTGTGTGTATTGTTGCATTGTTGAAGGAACAAAACATTTAAAAAAAAAAAAGCAGGAATGAGGAAACAACACAGACCAAGAAAGGTTTCGGCTTCGCACTTGTTCAAGCAAGGCTTTCAAGACTTACTGATTTTAAGTGGCTAACCTTTTCAAGTTTTCCCTGAGCAGCAAGCCTCCTCAATCTTGAACTAAGGATCCTTCTGAAATTTGGTGGCACTTCATGTCGTTGCTGCTATACACATACCAGACCATTGTCATGAATTTGATCATTACTTACAGGTTAGCTGCTAAGACAATAATAACGGACACTGAACCCAATAGAGCTATGGTAAGTTTTAATGATAATCATAGTGGACTTCTATGCAATAACTAGGATCAATCTCTAACAGCAAAGAATAGTTGAATAGTATAAAGTTTTACATTGGGACCTCTAACTTAGATGAATAGAGATTTTCAAGTAGATTAAATCTTTTGATAAGCAAAAGTAGCTAAAACTAAATGTTCATTCTCATCTTTAAATGCTACAATGATTGGGTAGTTTGTTCAGAATCAAAGATAGCTTTGTGTTTATACTGCTCAATAAATTAGTTTGACTACGGAGTAGATAAGTATTTCAGTGATGACACATGCATGATAAAGAGCACGGAAAAATATGTCTAACCTCGATGAAGTTGAAAATTGCACTGACATCAGATCCATTAGCGTCCGTCAAGGCTGAAAGAGCTTCAAATATCATTCCATCATACCTTAATAAAACAATGGCTCATCAGAAGCGTAACAATTGCAAGCAGCTTACAGCAATTATGAACCGACACAGGATTAACCTGGCTCGGAGGAGAAGAAGAAAAAGAAAACTAACCTGGGAGCATTCTTTGGATCAACTACAATGTTAAAACTATCATCAATGCTCAAATCAGAAGATCCACTACGGGGAAGAACAGCAACTGGAGAAGAGTGAGCACTATGAGGAGGAGTCAAGATAGCGGCAGCCGCAGCGGAAGCCAGATGAAAAGCAGCAGCTTTGATTTTTGGTGTCCGTATCTTATCCTTAGAGCCTTGAATGCCAGGGGCAACACTTAAATTACGCCACTTATCCTAGAAAATATGACATATAAGATGATTAAGAATCTTGTTTTGTAGGTAACCAATAATGGAGACAGTGCTAATTTTCAAAACCCCAATAGCTGAAATAAATGACGACAGTAATTTCCACCTCAAAGTTCAGACTCAACAATACTTGCTTTAGGTTTGATAATTTGTGTTCCATTCTCGATTTTCAAAGAAATCCTAGGACATAGGAGACAAAAATCACCGCAGGCAAGGATCAAGTAAAATTTGTTCTCCTAAAACCAAAACAGAGTAAAAGGGGATACCGATCACCTGTTTTAAACCTAAAGTAACAACTTTTCGTGGTGTAACTGTAAACCATAACTAGATTTAAGACTAATGTATTGCAGCATTACTTGCATTTGATAAAACTAAGAACAGATCTTCTATAACTGTCTAAGCTAGTGTCATATGATATTAAGAACTTTCTCAGGTGACAAGTACAGAAGAAACAGAGAAGACAATCTGTCCACTTGACTCACCAGAGTCCAAAATCCACTAAAAAAGGAACACAACGACGTACTCAATTCGTACCCGTAGCATACTCCCAGAAACCAAAGCATCGAAAGATGATTATCCCAATCATAAAAATTTCAAACTTTTGCAACTCAAATACAAAAAAATCGAGCCCAAAAAGTCCTCAACTGAATCCGACGTATTCAAATTAACAAATTTTTCATTTCCCTTTTGCCTTGAGCTTGATAATTAGGGTTTCCCATGATTCAACAAGAGCAGTTAAAAGAGGTAATTAAGAAGAAGATAATAAAAACCTTGAGGTCGATGTTAGAGCGACTAGAGAGCTGCTCAGCGAATTCGGGATCGCGGAGAATATTCTTCCACTTTCCGGGGCCATGCTTCCCAACTCCGGCGAGTAAAGCCTCCTCTTCCTCCGCCGTCCATTTAAGCTTCTGGTTTCCCATCTCTACGCTTCTATTTTCACCTCTTCGCTCCGTTACTTTATTTAGCTTCGTCGTTTTTGTATATCACAATCGGTGACAAAGAACGTCTCGCCGCCGATTCTTCGGCCGGGCTTGTACCCCAAAAACTATTGCTTCTTTTTTTTTATTCAAGATTATTTCCAAATCCAAATAAAATCTTTTTTTTTTTTTTCTTTATATGTGAAGAAATCGATCTACAAAGTGGTTGTTATGGTGGGGTTTACATTTTAAGAAACATATTAATAAGACTTTGAAAACTATAGGGTCTAAAATGGAAAAAAACGTAAAATCGAGAAAGATTTTGGGTTAAATGATTCTAAATAAAACTAAGGGGTCAAATTCGAATTAGCCACAAAATCTTACTTACCCTAAAAATTTCTCCTTTCTAATTCTGCACCACATCGTCATAACTCATAAGCTTGTCTCTCACTCCGGCGTCTCTTTCTCCGTCGCCACCATTTCTAAAACCTCTCCCGTCTTCCTCTAATGGCGATCAATCATAGCCCCGATAACGAATCCAACGAAAACACGCGTCTTTATCATCCTTACCAAAACTACGAGGTCCCGATCAAAGCTCAGTATCTATACAAGCTTCCGACTTCTCCGGAATATCTCTTCACGGAAGAGTCTCTCAAACAGCGTCGATCATGGGGAGAAAATCTCACTTTCTACACAGGGACGGGTTATCTCGGCGGCTCTGTAGCCGGCGCTGCAGCTGGGATCTTCTCTGGTATCAAGAGTTTTGAAAATGGAGACACGACGAAGCTGAAAATCAACAGGATTTTGAATTCGTCTGGTCAGGCAGGTCGCACTTGGGGTAATAGGATTGGGATTGTTGGGTTGATCTACGCAGGGATTGAGAGTGGTGTGGTAGCGGTAACTGATAAGGATGATGTTTGGACCAGTGTTGTGGCTGGTCTTGGAACCGGAGCGGTCTTTAGGGCAGCCCGAGGAGTGAGATCTGCGGCTGTGGCTGGTGCTTTTGGCGGAATTGCGGCTGGTGCGGTTGTGGCGGGGAAGCAGGTTTTCAAGCGGTATGCTCACATATGAAGAACCGGAGTGATCTTTAAAGCCACCTATATGGAAAATCATAAAAATCAAAGCTTTATCGAGGTTTCTAGGGTAGAATTCTGGTTTACGTTTTAGCATAAATTAACCTGCGAACCTTTATTTATAGATATAATAATAATAAAGGTTTTACCTTTTGGTATTCGAATCTCCATGAGTTCTTGTTTATGATTATACTAGCTTTTGTTATACTTATGTTTGTGCCTATTTTCACTTGTCTATAAAGCGTGTATGTTCTTGTTGTTATCAGAATGACTCAGAGATGAAATGGCTTTCAATCTCATTTCCTCTATCTTTTATCATTTTGTAAAGAGAAATAGTTTAGACTGTTCACTATGTGATTGTTCGGCTATTTTGAGGGCTCATTTGTTAATAGTTGGCCATCTAATCTCTAAGGGCATTTCTAAGATTTTTTAAAGCTCTTGGCTTTTCTAGCTGGGACTTCCTTATTGTCTGTGATTATTCGTTGATCTGGAACGTGTTAGTATCTCACTTGATCCCTAGTTGTATTCATTTTTTTACCTTTCCAGACTTCCTCTTGAAGCTTTTTTGTCTCGTCTCTGGAATGTCTCCAGGTAACGACTTAAAACAAAATGTTTCATGATGTAATGTGGATCTGTTGTGAACTTCTGCTTTTGTCTCTTAAGTCTTGAGTATTTTGCTTTTTTCATATTGTGTTAAGTCTAAGCGCGTATAGTCCCAAATTGACAAAATGCCCTGTCAGCTAACATTGCTGGTGCAGCTCCGAGAGGTATTCCTTTAATTCTGGTTTTAAGAAGTTTTTTTTTTGTGTGTGACTGCTTGCATCTTCTTTGGAACTAATGCTGTCAAACAATTTTTTTTTTAGAGAAGACTATACTCTCAAATTTCAGTGTGTAGTTGTTTAGAAAAGCTTTTTATGTGCTACAGATGGAATGCTCTAGTGCAAAAGTGACAAGGTGAGTTGATTTTGCAAGGAGGATACAAATCTTCTATAATAAATGTGTTTCTTTTCATGAGACCAAAAAATAAAGTGTTTGATAAACAAGATAAGAACTCCGACACTATGGAAGTTCAACATTGAACTTTGGGTGGAGTACAAATCATGAAAGACTGACAACAACTTCCCTTGCATTGGCTTGTTTATGATCATGTAAATCACCTTCTTCTGGTGGGTATGGGATGGCATCGGATGCTTAAACTGAACAAGTGCTTCGCGGATCTCAGAGATAGCCAATGTCGCTTCACTTTGATCTACGTCGACGTTCCAATCTTTCTGTCAAAAGGATTTTCCCAAGCATCATCTGTCTACATGATTGAAATAGAGGACTCAGGAATCAAAGAAGTTTATTAATTTTATTCCTTTTCCAGGTGAAGATTAGAAATGTGTTATTGCAGGTTCTAAGAAACCAACCTGAGAGGAAGATATTGGGGAAAGAGGAACCGAATTTTGAGCACGTGACTCATGAAATGTTTTATCGGAGTTATGTACTTCATGATTCTCTGTTGCAAACTCTCTTAGCTTGCTCAGTGCAGGCAACAGAACGGAAGCAAGATCAGGTCTGTCCTTTTTCCGCAGCTCGCAGCACTGCAAAGCCAATTGAGCTAGCACCAGAGTCTCTTCTTCAGGCCAGTCTGATATTTTTGGATCCAAAACTTCTCGGAATGTCTTCTTCTCAATTGATTTCTCTACTCTATGGCTTAAACCCATTGCTGGCATCGCTGTGATGATTTGCAGAAGCACCACACCAAATGAGTACAAGTCAGACTTCACCCCAAGCATTCCCGTTTGCTGGTACTCGGGGTCGATGTAACAAAATGTACCTGTTTCAGCGATTGGGTCCATGTTAGGACTTTAAAAGGAGATGGAAAGATTAGATTTGTTGTTTAAGGTAAAATGAAAGTATTACCGGCCGCAGCAGTCATGTGATAATTGGAGAAGCTATCAGCAACAGTGGGAGGTACCAACCGAGCTAAACCAACGTCACTGATTTTGCTGATTAAATATCTGTCTAGCAGAATGTTTGCTGGCTTCAGATCTCGATGTACTAGTGGCTCGGGTTTGGCCTGATGAAGAAAAAGAAGTCCTGTAGCAATCTCAGCAGCGATTCTGAACCGTGCTCTCCAAGATAATGGTGGAGTATTATCTTTGCAGAAGAGACGATCTTCTAGTGTTCCATTTTCCATGTACTCATACACAAGGCAGCCATATTCGGGACAAGCACCGAGGAGGATTACCATGTTAGGGTGCCTCATGCAACTTAGAACCTCGATCTAGTGAGGAGAAACATATGTTAAGTAGTATGGAGAAGACATGCAATATATTAGGATAGTGTCAGATTATATTATTACCTCTTGGTTAAACTGCTTCAGGCCTTGTGAGACATCTGACTTCAAGATTTTGATGGCAACAGAAGTGTTTTCAAGAACGGCTTTATACACAGGTCCATACCCTCCTTCCCCAATCTTTAGAGCATCTGAAAAACCGTCGGTAGCACCTTCAACATCTCTGATGCTATATCGTCTGTAGGATATACTATCGGCCATGTTCTGTTCCTTGAACTTGGCTTGCATCTCCACAAGTCTTCTCTTCTGGGTCTCTATTTCCGCTAGACGTTGTGCCATTTCAGTTGCTTGGATCGCACTCTGTGTTTTTTGATTGTCCATCTCGGACAATGCCCTAAGCATCTCTCTTGCTGCCTTTGCTTCCTCCAGCTTTTCAGTTTCGGCGGTAGCTCTAGGTCCTTGAAGATGAGGGGCCTACAAGAATATATTCAATGTCTGATATTAGTCAATCATCTTTGGGACCTGTTCAAGGAAACATTCTCCGTTGTCCTCATGGAAGTAAGTATCTTACACTTTCTCTGCATATGGAAGCATTAAACTGGTGCAATTCGAGTCTCAATCTTCTCACTTCTGCTTCAAGATTTTGATTCTGATCATATTCATGCACAATGAACACAAACATCTCAGAATCATGCAGTTGACACTCTGCATAACCGAAACACCATATCTACTTTTCTGAAATATGAATTTACCTGGTGTTCAGTGATATTGCCCCCTGATAAGCTTTCCTCTCCATCAGTCATTTCAGACTACAGATTCGACAGAAAATGTCAAAACGCCAGGAAAATTGGAGGCAACAAGTATGTTATATTGAAACGTGATGAGAATACTACTAACCATGGAAGAGTGTGAGCTTCCTCCATAGGTGGATCGTCCTAGGATGCTGTAGAAACTAGCATTTGATTCAGCACTGTGACCACTGGGAGATTCATTGCTAAGCTCTGACATGGAACTCCTATTGAAAGATGGCTTGTAATGAGGTGTAGGTGGAGATAATTCTCCGTTTAATGCAGGAGATGACCTGCGAGATTGGCAAACCCAATGATTCCTATGAAGCAAAAAAATGCTTTCATTCACAAGACAGAACCAGATGAAAACTTGTGTTAATTAATTACCTTCCGGATTCACTGGAAGTGGAACTTGTTGGGCCAGGATCAGACATCATTGCGGGATGTTTTAAAGGATGAGGAGCGTGTTGAGGACCTTGCGGTGTAAGAGGACCTTGCGATGTATGAGGACCTTGCGGTGTCTGAGGACCTTGAGGTGTCTGAGGCCGACTCGCTGATCTGCTTGTTAAGAGCTTTCCTTTAGACACAATGAAGACAGCACATGTATCTGGGGTTGTTTTAAGCAGAGTCGTTGGCACATCGGCGCTCTTAAACTTCCTGATTAAGACCATTACAGAGGGTTTTAGGTTTCAGCATTCATTGAACCAAAGTTTGAGATTACAGTTAAGGTTATATGAGAGAAAGAAAGAGACTTGAGGAAAGAATTTCGTGCAGAGGCTCCAAGGACTATATTTGAAACGGAATTGTTGGTGATGTAGTCAACAATTGCACTGGAGATGTCAATATCGTGAAGAAGAACCTCCGTTGCTATAATCTGAGAGAACATATATAATGAGGTCAGTCAGAGCTATGTATATATGTGATTATTGTAAGGAGAAAGAGAGGTTGATCTCTGACCCCTTTCCGAGCACAGAATCCTCTAAAGGGAAGGAAGAACTGATGAGCCTCTTCTTGGTTGTCATGTGGAGCTTCTGTGTTTTCTCCTGCCCCAATTCCTGTTTCAAGATTTTTCATTAGATTGATGGATTGATAACGATGGTAATGATAGAGATGACGATGCCATTACTCAATTTGGTTTGAACATGGAGAAGGATACAGTTTGGAGAATCGATGATGATGTTCTCAACAGCCCATTTCAAAGCGTGTTGGCTGTTCTTATCCTTATCAATGGCTATGGCGGTAACTGCTTTACTGTCTTTTCCTTTTAGTCTTCTTGTAGCCATCTTTCTCAGCCCTGGAGATGATTGCTGGAGACTTTGCTTCTCGGGAAACTAGAAAGACATTGTGGTCTTTTACCCTCACAAGGAGGAAATGAGGAGACCGAATGATAAAGTTAATGGTAAAAAGAAATAAAGAAGAGAATATGAGAGGAGAGAAAAACAGATTTGAACTGTTTTGTTTGTTGCGAAGATTTAAACTTATAATGGTTTTGGCACTTTGCTAAAATTAGAAGTTCTTTTCCCAACAATCTAACAGTTTTCTTAATGAACAGAGAGACAGACAAAAAGAGGACATTTTAATTTTAGTTGACGACTTATCTTTACAAAGTTTTTTTTTATATATAGGAAATTCCATCTCATATCTTGTAGATTGTAATTAGAACAAGTATTTTTGTGTAATGGCAACTTATATTAATATATATGTAAACTAGATAAACTTGGAATTATATATGCAGTCTTGATCTTTTAGAAGAAAGAAGAAGACCACGAGAAATCCAAGAGTTTAAATTAGTTTTATAATTTGATTGGACCAACGTGCTAAATATCTTGGGGTTCGTCAGTACCTCAAATTTTTGTGATGATCCGTACATTTGTGTATACATGACATGCATGTGTGAAATTTTCTTTTTTTCAGATCAAATGGAAGTGAATCATATATAAGAGATTTTTATAGTACCCCGGAAGAGTTTACCTTTCTATTTGGATAAACCACTAGATTCAGGTAACCTGTTTGGTTTAAGAGTTTACCTTTCTATTTGGATAAACCACTAGATTCAGGTAACCTGTTTGGTTTTGAAAGGGCAAAAGGGTTCAATTTTTAAGGCTTTTGTCTTATGTGAGTGATTCATCATGTCGCTGATGAGGAGGACCTTTGATATTTCAAGTAAACCATATACTATATAATAGCTCATGAAATATGTTTCAGAGGAGCTAGAAAACATTATTTATATTTTCTAATGATTTTGGTATAACTACAACTGTGTACAAGCATCGGTAAAAAAGGGACGTGACTCTAAGAAGCGAGGGGTTTAAATAATACTAGTTGTTTGCCAGATATAATGGAAGTGGATCATGGGCGTGTTCTTGCTACGGCGATTGTCCTGAATGATGAGGTTCCCACAACAGAAGTCCTTATTACTACAAGTCATGATAATGTAGCAAGAGGAAGGAGGAGGAGTGTCTATGAGCTAGAGTGTATACCTCTTTGGGGCACAGTGTCAATCTGCGGTGAAAGGTCTGAAATGGAGGATGCTGTTAGAGCATTACCTCATTTTCTCAAAATACCTATCAGAATGCTTATGGGGGATCATGAAGGGATTACTCCAACCGTCACATGTCTTACTAGTCACTTCTTCGGTGTATATGATGGCCACAGAGGCGCTCAGGTTCTTAAATATTCATATTGATATTACTTACCAATAGAGAGTTTGTCCAGAAGCTATATGTTAATATATGATGAGGGTTTTGCTGGAAACAGGATACTCTGTAATATATGATGGCGATTCTTTGCAGGTTGCTGACTATTGCCATGCTAGAATCCATTTTGCTTTGGTTGAACGGATAAAAGAGGAATTGTGCAAGAGGAACACTGGTGAGTATAGTAGGCATGTCCAGTGGGAGAAAATCTTTGTCGATTGTTACCTAAAGGTCGATGATGAGGTTAAAGGGAGAATCAGCAGACCTGTTTCTGGTTCTGGTTCTTCTGATAGGATGGTTCTTCAGGCTGTTTCCCCTGAGACTGTCGGATCAACTGCTTTGGTTGCTTTGGTTTGTTCATCGCATATAATAGTCTCAAACTGTGGTGACTCTAGAGCAGTTTTACTCCGAGGCAAAGACTCCATGCCTTTATCCGTTGATCACAAAGTAAAACATCTGAGATAGTTTCTTACTTCTCATTCTTACAATGCTAATTATGTTTCTTACCTTTTTTTTTTTTTGGAAGCCTGATAGAGAGGATGAGTATGCAAGAATAGATAAAGCTGGAGGAAATGTTATACAATGGCAAGGCGCTCGTGTTTCTGGCGTTCTCGCAATGTCTAGGTCCATCGGTAGGTCGAAATTGCAGATTTTCTTCAATCCTGTTCAGTGACAGAAATCTTAAGAGAGTTCAATATATGTCAGATTATACAATAAAATTATCTGGAGATGAGGATCATTACTACGTGTTACAGTCTTTGCAACATCATTAGATCCATTTCAATCTTTTTTTGTTTGTTTGTTCTCAGGTGATGAATATCTGGAGCCATATGTAATACCAGATCCTGAAGTGACGTTTATGCCACGAGCAAGAGAAGACGAGTGTCTTATATTGGCCAGTGATGGACTTTGGGACGTAATGAGTAACCAAGAAGCTTGCGAGTTAGCTAGGAAACGGATCTTGATGTGGCACAAGAAGAATAGATCTTTGCCTTTAGCTGAGAGAGGTGTAGGGGAAGACCATGCATGCCAAGCCGCAGCTGCTTATCTCTTGAAACTCGCTCTTAGAAAGGGAAGCAAAGACAATGTCTCGATCATAGTGGTCGACTTGAAAGCTCAGAGAAAGTTCAAGACAAGATCTTAACAAGTGGAAAAAGACTTAGGAACGATTGAAGAGATAAAAAGCCTTTCCTCTGCAGCAATGAACGACTCCGACTCCGGAAAAGAAAATCAGTCAGAAAAAGCTTCACACTCTCAATAGATAGATTTCTATTGATCAAGTTTTGATTTTAAAGCAAAACAAACATTTTACCATAAGCTAGCTTAAATTGCATCAAATTTCTCATGTTTCAAAACTTCATCTAATTGCATCAGTAACTAAACTATCTTAGCTTTTTTCTTTCTTTTTCTGTTTGTAATTTACATCAATCCTCCCAAGTTCTTGCTGCAATCTTAAACATCAGCAGCAAATTTTCTTAATAGTCACAACTTTTCTCAGTGATTTTTAATTTTTTTTGACCAACTCAGCTAACCAAGCAGCCTTGAAGGCAAAATTCACCAAGAGAAACGATTTTTCGAATAAATAGAAATCGAAATAACAACCTGAGAGAGTAGATGTGACTGATTTAGAATTTGGAAAAAAATCTTTTAAGATTTTGAGGACGAGAAATTAGTATATTACGTACGTACCCGAGCCGAGAAACGAGAAATCATCTGGGGAGTCCCCTTTTGTATAACTCTAACCCCATAAATCCCCGTTCAAAACATATATTATTCTATCATGGAGTAGTATTCATCTGGGGAAACCTCACTTATCCATGTGTGACTCATCTAATATTCATTTGTTATCATCCATCAACAAGATAATTACACTATTTTTGGAAACTATCAAACCTCTTTACTTCAACAAACCGTACTCAAAAGTTTCTTATTTTGGCTTATGTGTTTTGGATGGTTATCTGGTTTTTTTTTTTTTTCTCATGATGGTTATCTGGTTCTCGCACAAAGCTTATTCAAGTTTGAGTACTTTAATCTTATCTATGTTAACAACGTTATGAGAGCACATAAATTATATATCACATGAATTTCTTCTAAAAATCTTATGAAACAAAAAACAAATTTAAAATCTTATAGAGCACATGGATTTCTTCTAAAAATCTTATGAAACAAAATTATATTTTGCTAAAAAAACAAATTTAAAATCGTTTTTAAACACTACATGTGTCATGCGCATCGTCACACAACTATTTTATTTTTGCTAATTAATTTCTATTTATCTTATACATGGAAGAGACGTACTATTGCCATCACATATGAAGAGAGCCTCAACTTCAACAATAAATATGATTTTTTTTTTTGTTTGTCGGCAATAAATATGAAAATTGATCCATAGTGCTACAAAACTTAAAAAAAAAAAACTAGCTGTATGTAATTAGAAAAAGTCTTATAGAATAAACAGAAGACTTGACCTTAAAGAGGAAAGGACACGCGTCATCTTGCCATTATTGAATATATAAAAGAAAGATTAAATTAATTAATTTTATAATTGATTGGATCAACGTGTTAATAATTAAGGTCGTTGTCACATAAAGAAACTTGGGATTCCGTGGAGAAGCATATAATTTTTTTTTTTTTTAAATAATTTTTCTGTTAACCTTTTTATTTTATTTTGGGTAAAAACTCCATTAGATCCAGGAGAACCCATGTTTCGTTTTGGAAAGATAAAGATAAAGGCTTCGACTTTTTTGGTTTTTTTGTGTGTGTGAGATTCATGTTACTGATTGAAATCAATTCTCTCTGTTTGTTGTCCTTGCTCTTCAATTTCACCTGACTTTTGTTTTTTTTTTTGGATAAAGTTTTGAGCTTTGTGTCTTCTCTCTACTCTCTGCTGATCTCTCTGGGAAACAAAAGGCTGAATATTTTTTGGGGGTTTCTAAATTAGGATTTGTGTGAGTTTGTTGATGAAGATCAAGAGTTATAGAGGATGGTAAGAGTGATCAAAATCCCACGAATTCACAAAGGATCCGTCGCATAGATCCGTCAGATCTGTTCACCGGAGGTACGTACTTCTTCTTGATTCACTACTCTCTGGATTAGTTTGTGAGAATAAACGACGGGTGGGTCTCTGTTGGAAGCTGAGTTGGATGTAGAGATCATCAGACCATGGCTTAGAGAAGAAGATGAAGATTATTGAATCGTTTTACTCCAGTTAAGGTGTGGAAGCAGCATAGCAACTCATGGAAGAGATTTCACCGGCAGTTGCACTGACTTTGAGTTTAGCTAATACGATGTGTGACTCTGGTATCTCATCCACTTTAGATATCTCCGAGCTGGAGAATGTTACTGATGCAGCTGACATGTTGTCTAATCAGAAAAGACAAAGATATAGTAATGGAGTGGTTGATTGTATGATGGGAGATGTTTCAGAAGAACCAGAAGAGAAAACTTTATCTCAAGTGAGAAGCTTGTCTTCCGATTTTAGTGTAACTGTCCAAGAATCAGAAGAAGATGAGCCATTAGTATCTGATGCCACTATTATAAGCGAGGGTTTAATAGTTGTGGACGCTAGGTCTGAGATAAGTTTGCCAGATACAGTTGAAACAGATAACGGCCGAGTTCTTGCTACGGCCATTATCCTAAACGAGACAACCATAGAACAGGTTCCCACTGCAGAAGTCCTTATTGCAAGTCTGAATCACGATGTGAATATGGAGGGGGCAACTTCTGAGGTAGTCATTAGGTTGCCTGAAGAAAATCCTAATGTAGCAAGAGGAAGCAGGAGTGTCTATGAACTAGAGTGTATACCTCTTTGGGGAACGATTTCAATTTGCGGTGGAAGATCTGAAATGGAGGATGCTGTTAGAGCTTTACCTCATTTTCTCAAAATACCCATCAAAATGCTTATGGGGGATCATGAAGGGATGAGTCCAAGTCTCCCATATCTCACTAGTCACTTCTTTGGTGTATATGACGGCCACGGAGGCGCTCAGGTATGCTGTAGTTCTCAAATCCTTATATTTATTTTAGCAATAGAGAGTTAATTCACCTATGAACCCGGAAGAAAAATGAGTTTATGTTTTGCTGCCATAGGTTGTATGTATATATGATAAGGGTTTGCTGGAAACCGGACTCTTTGCAGGTTGTTATGTAATATATGATGGCTTTGGTGGAAATGGGATTCTTTGCAGGTTGCTGACTATTGCCATGATAGAATCCACTCTGCTTTGGCTGAAGAAATCGAACGGATTAAAGAGGAATTGTGTAGGAGGAACACTGGCGAGGGTAGGCAGGTCCAGTGGGAGAAAGTCTTTGTAGATTGTTACCTAAAGGTCGATGATGAGGTTAAAGGGAAAATCAACAGACCTGTTGTTGGTTCTTCTGATAGGATGGTTCTTGAAGCTGTTTCCCCTGAAACCGTCGGATCAACTGCTGTGGTTGCTTTGGTTTGTTCATCGCATATAATAGTCTCAAACTGTGGTGACTCTAGAGCAGTTTTACTCCGAGGCAAAGGCTCTATGCCTTTATCAATTGATCACAAAGTAAAAAAATCTTCTCTTTCTCTCAATAATAATTTAACACAATCTGAGAAAGTTCCTTACTTCTCGTTCATGCAATTTCTTCTTCTCATGCATGCAATCTTCTCATTCATGCAAGTTCCTTACTTCTCGTTCATGCAATTTTTTCAATTTCTTACCCTCTCTCTGCAGCCAGATAGAGAGGATGAGTATGCAAGAATAGAAAAAGCTGGAGGAAAAGTTATACAATGGCAAGGCGCTCGTGTTTCTGGCGTTCTTGCCATGTCCAGGTCCATTGGTAGGTCAAACTTGCACAGTGACAGAAATCTTAAGAGAGTTTTATAGGTCAAAATTATCGATAAATTGAACATTCAGTAACCTTATTTAGTGTTGAGGATCATTACTACCTGTTACAGTCTCTGCAAAATCATTAGATCTCCTGAAAGTGGGTTTCAATCTGTTTTCAGGTGATGAATATCTGGAGCCATATGTAATACCAGATCCCGAAGTGACGTTTATGCCACGAGCTAGAGAAGACGAGTGTCTTATATTGGCCAGTGATGGACTTTGGGATGTAATGAGTAACCAAGAAGCTTGTGATTTTGCGAGGAGGCGGATCTTGGCTTGGCACAAGAAGAATGGAGCATTGCCTTTAGCTGAGAGAGGTGTAGGGGAAGACCACGCGTGTCAAGCCGCAGCTGAATATCTCTCCAAACTCGCTCTTCAAAAGGGAAGCAAAGACAATATCTCAATCATAGTGGTCGACTTGAAAGCTCAAAGAAAGTTCAAGACCAGATCTTGAAACAGTGTACGCTCAAGCTCTTACACTATTATAATTTTATTATTTCTTATTTTTTAGAAATTTCCACAAGTTTACATAAAAATAAGAAGTGAAATGTTGGGGGAAGAAGAATTAAGACCTTGATGATGCATAGCTAAAGTCCATTCCTTTTTCTCATGGACTTGAATGTGTATGTTTGTTATGTATAAGAAGAATAGAGAAGAAATGTTTTTTTTTTTTTATATATATAATTTTTATTTTGGGATCTTTATAAAAAGTAGGTGGATATGTTGTAATATTGGAGATGTGGCTTAAGGGATTGTAACTGAAATTTATGTCACATTAACCTTGTATTATACATAAATAGTTGTTGTAAAAGAGTAATAATTGTCTTTTTCTATTGTTATACATATACAACAGGTAATATTGATACCAAAGTGTTTTAGTAAGGAATATCCATTTTGGTAATGGGGTTTTAAATTGGTGGAGTTGGTGAATTTAATCCCCTGCCTTTTTACTACTAGAGAGTAGGGTTTAACGACTGAAACGAACCTAAATAAAAGATCACAATTGGTAGGTTAAGGTCTCATAATTCTTTAGAATTTAACAAAAATAATGAGTTGAATAGTTTAAGAATCAAACAGAAACCCCAAGTGATGAATGGATCAGAGTCACATAAAGGAGATCATAATAACTGGTGTTTTAGTGTCGTCAAACAATGTGCTGAGCCAAAGTAAGGATCTTGAGCTGTTTCCTGAGGCGCATCTCGTGGGGGACAGGACCAAACACTCGGGTACCAGTCGGTTGGTTATACTCAAATTTTCTCTTGGAACCATCCGAATTCTTCTTCTTCTTTTCCTTAATGCCCACAACTACAACGGCATTGTCATCAAACCTGACTTGGCTTCCATCAGCACGTCCTTTCTGCATCGCAGCACGCACAACCACACCGTACACGACCATCCCTTTCTTCACTTTACCTTTTGGTATGGCGTCTTTCACTGAACCAACAATGATATCGCCAAGTCTTGCTCCTTTCTTACCTCTCAGGGATTGAATGCACATCACTTCTTTAGCACCCGAGTTATCCACGGATTTGAGAATCGTCCCCATTTGAATGAATGACCTATGTTGTTGCTGTAAATTGGAAATTATCAGGACACACAATTCACAGGTTATCTCCGAACGTATAAAAAAACAGATTGATATATGCAAATTGTTGCAAAAAGAGGCTTGACCTGAGAGAGGATGCTTCCATTCATCATTCCATTGGAGGAATTCATCAAACCAGAGAAAGCATTGCAAAGACCTCCAAGCAATGAACGTCCTGCTCTTATTGTCGATGAATCAAATCATATAAACAACATAAACCAGAAAAAATGATTTGAGCACGAATTAGTGACATTAACAACAAGAACAAAAAAGTTTTAATCTTGAGTCTGCATTTCATGAACCAAGCAAAGTTGATGACTCAAATCAGTTACAAACCCAACAACTAAAAGCTCACAAGAGTGTAGAAGATGTAATCTTATTTCGAAACTTAAACTCCCACGGTTGCTAATAAATCAATGTTGCAAAAGATCTACTTTTTAAAGAAGTAAACTTTATCAAATATAATAATATAAACCCAAAACCGAGATTAGCTAGTCGCTATAAGAAGGCGTAAGAGATGAAAATGTACCTTTGGAGAGCCTGGAAGCTAAAGCTGTCGCCATTTCTGCAATTTAGAGGATTCAATCTTTAGTGGCGCAGAGAGTCTATGAATCTTGCGATTGCACAAAGACCCCAAATTTAGGGTTTTACGTCACACACTCGTAGTCGCAGCGATCATTTGGGCTCTTGTGTAATAAATGGTTACTGACTTACTAAGCTATATTGTAAGAAAGTGGTGACGTTATCCAAAGTGGGCGTGCCGGAGTGGTTATCGGGCATGACTAGAAATCATGTGGGCTTTGCCCGCGCAGGTTCGAATCCTGCCGCTCACGGATTTCTTTTTTGTTTTTTTTTTCTTATTAACCTTAATTTCTCCTTATTTTCTTACATTAAAACCAGGGCCACAACATATTCTTCACATTTAACATTTATTTACCCCAATATCTGATATTATTAAATAACAAAAAAAAACAATGGTGCCCTATATTAATAACAAACAATTTTTTCCAATTTTTGCCACTTTTTTACAAGACAAAATCCAAAAATTCTTAATGTTAAGAAAAAATCCTAAATCAAGAATTTTTAAACGATTTAGAAGTGGTTGTTCAAGTGGAACAATTCACCGATGCCGTCCATTTTGAAGCGAGCAGTGGGACCCACTAGTAATCCGTATCAGACAAGAGACAAAATAAAAACCCCCAAATGGCTTCTTCAAGCGAAACGCTTTTTTTTGAAACTCTCCAACGCAAATAGAGATTTACCAAATTCTCACCGGAGAAGAAAAAGGGCTTTCCTTTCCTGAGATTTCCGGTGAAAAGTCTTTGACTTTATCACTCCCAAGTCTCTCCACAAGTAGATTGATTCTGCTTCAATCTCTTCATCTGGGGTTTTTCCCCTTTGCTTTTCAAATGGTAAATTCAAATATATCTACGTTTTTTTTTTTAATCTTAAGAAGGTATATTTATCGGTCTCTTCGCTCTTTGTTTTCGTTCCCCTTGTTTATTTGGAAATTGAAAACCCTGCTTGCTTGTTTGTTTCGTTAATGTTGTTGTTGCGTTTGCTTGCTTACCTTTTTGTTTTCATTTATAGATAGAGACTCTAATTCTTGATCTATTATTGTTTTTACTTCTGCAAGGTTTTGGTTTGACTAGGTCTAGCTCAGTTCTAGAACCTTGCTCGTTGTCTGAATTATAATCTCGTTTATGTAATTTTGCCTAGAGCTGTAAAATGGATGATATGTGGCCCTTGAACCTCTGAATTCTTAGAGGCAATGTTTTTGATGTTGTTAAATGCAATGCAATGGTTGCAGGCTGCTCCAGTCATAATTGTGGGTTCACATGTGTGGGTTGAAGATCCTCATTTGGCATGGATAGATGGAGAAGTTACTCGAATCGATGGTGAAAACATTCATGTCAAAACTAAGACTGGGAAAACCGTAAGTTTCTTTAAGGTTACACCTTTATTATTTTACTTGAATCAATGAGCTCGTATGTGGCCTCGACCTTTGGGTGAAGGCTAAAAAAGAGTAGGAATAAGAGAGTTGGTAAATTTAGACGTCGATTTATGTTACGTTTGATCTTGGAATGGGATACTGTCATAGTCCCGTTATAACCCTAGATCGGTAGGTTTTTACCTTCTGCATTCAAGGTAGATGTAGGTTATTATGCTTTTAGTGTTTTTATCAAACCAAGTAACATAATAAATAAAGGAAAAGACCTTAAGTTATTGGTATTTACTGAATGTCAAAAGGCAAGTGTATAGAAATATGGAGTGGACAGTATGAAGCTTCCAGGCTTTCTATTTGGCAGTAATCTTGATATATTTTCATATATCCATTGAAAGTTAAAACTGTTACCCGTGATAGGGAAACAGCTTAACGTGATAAGATGCATTTACGTTGTCATTTTATATGTTATTGCCCATGATATATTTTCATGATAAGTTCGTTGCTGTCAAGTATAGATGTTCGCATTTCCTTGTTGGACATGGTTCTCCTCACATATCCCCATGTTGTATGGATTTCAGGTTGTGACAAACGTATATTTTCCCAAGGATACTGAAGCTCCATCTGGAGGTGTAGATGACATGACAAAGCTTTCATACTTGCATGAGCCTGGAGTCTTACGAAACCTTGAGACAAGATACGAACTTAATGAAATCTACGTAAGATATTTTACCTTTTTTTTCTAGCATCTCTTCCTTTTTGTTACTGCAAAGGAAATCATTTGAAATAAGCTATTCTACTAATAAGTTTTGTGTTACTTCTGTAGACATATACGGGGAATATCCTAATCGCAGTTAATCCATTCCAAAGGCTGCCTCATATTTATGAAACTGATATGATGGAACAATATAAGGGAACTGCACTTGGAGAACTAAGTCCTCATGTTTTTGCAATTGGGGATGCTGCATACAGGTTTGTGCATGTTCACACCCATCAATTTATCGTACTACTATCTATTTCGTGAGATAATTTACTGATTTGTCACGGTATAAGTTATTAGGGCAATGATTAATGAAGGAAAAAACAATTCGATTTTGGTAAGTGGAGAAAGTGGTGCTGGTAAAACCGAGACGACAAAGATGCTCATGAGGTACCTTGCCTTTTTGGGAGGGAGGTCTGGTGTAGAAGGAAGGACAGTTGAACAGCAAGTCTTAGAGGTTTTTTTTTATATTTTCATAAAAAATGAGGATTATTCCATATATGGCTGTATACAGCTTAATGTGTATATCCCCAATGGCATATTGCAGTCTAATCCAGTTCTCGAAGCATTTGGCAATGCAAAAACTTTACGGAACAACAATTCAAGGTACTTTTCTCCGTCTTTCCAAATCTGGGGTTTATCAGCTAAGTTCATTAAATTAGTAATTAGTTCATACTAGGATTTATTGTTAAATGCCTGGTTCCTTAAATTTTTTAAACGTTTTTAATTATTCGTCCGATTATGCCTTAAGAAAACTCGTATTCATTGTTATTTGGCCGTTTTCGTTCTTCTTGATGGCACCCACCTCGCAGTCGTTTTGGTAAATTTGTTGAAATCCAATTTGACAAGAATGGAAGGATATCTGGGGCAGCTATTAGGACTTATCTGCTGGAAAGGTCCCGTGTTTGCCAAATCTCAGATCCTGAAAGGAATTACCATTGCTTTTATCTTCTTTGTGCTGCTCCGCCAGAGGTATCTCATAATTTGCTTTCTTCTAATTGACACATTAAGTGCATGTCATCCCATGCTGATATCTTACTCATTTTTTTGCTATTTTCATGGTTATTTTGCAGGATATAAAGAAGTACAAGCTGGAAAACCCACATAAATTCCATTATCTAAATCAGTCAAGTTGTTATAAATTGGATGGTGTTGATGATGCTAGTGAATACCTTGAAACCAGAAGAGCTATGGATGTAGTTGGAATCAGTAACGAAGAACAGGTAATGTGTTAAAGAAGTCAGGTTTCCGTTCTGCTACTTTCATGTTAGAGTCTGACATCTAAAGTAAATATTTTCAGGAGGCAATCTTCAGGGTGGTTGCTGCAATTCTTCATCTTGGTAACATTGATTTTGGAAAAGGGGAAGAGATAGATTCCTCGGTCATCAAGGATGAAGATTCCCGAAGTCATCTTAATATGGCGGCAAAGCTACTTATGTATGGTCCTTTTTCTCACTATATTTGAAACTGTTTGTCCATTTTCGTTTTAGTGGATTATGTATTCGTTGTAAAAGCTGTTTTTTATATTGTGCACTTGTTCTGACAGGTGTAACGCCCAGAGCCTAGAAGATGCTCTTATTAGGCGTGTGATGGTTACACCTGAAGAGATTATCACGAGAACTCTTGATCCCGATAATGCAATTGCGAGTAGGGATACCCTGGCCAAGACAATATATTCTCACTTGTTTGACTGGTATTTAAGCAAACTTCCTCTTCCATTTCCCCATCTGGCATTTTTATATATATTTGCATAATACGTTTTATTCTATCATTTACAGGATTGTGAACAAAATTAATACTTCTATCGGGCAGGACCCACGGTCAAAGTCGATTATTGGAGTTCTGGATATCTATGGGTTTGAAAGTTTCAAATGCAATAGGTATTGTTATACGTAAAACATTCTTTGCTATCACCTTTACCCATTTCATTCCAGGAGTGCATGGAGGACCAATCTAGACATGCTTGGATAGCTTTAAAGAAATAATTCCTTGTCATCTCCTGCTATTTCAACTGAAAACTGCCAATGTCTCTATATCTTTTGCAGTCTCAGAATATTGAGTGGGTGTTAGATATATTAATATAAAGTGTGTCAAGATGTTGGAAGGAAATTGCTAACCGTGGAAAGTTAGTAGATTTATCTATTATCAAAGAGTTGTAGTTGATCTTTTGTTCGGCTTATGATACAGTTTTGAGCAATTCTGCATCAATTTCACGAATGAAAAACTGCAACAACATTTTAATCAGGTTAGTCGTTTTCTCGTTTTTATATTGATCAGCGCTTTTGCTTTTTGATAAGTAGATTGGACTTATTTCTGGTATCACTCTTTTGCAGCATGTCTTTAAGATGGAGCAGGAAGAGTACACCAAAGAAGAGATTGATTGGAGTTACATAGAGTTTATTGATAACCAAGATGTTCTTGATTTAATTGAAAAAGTATGTTTCTCCTTTCTTATAATTTAACAGACTTACATTTCAGTTTGTGATATTTGATTGCTTGATGATAACCATATTTAGGTTTAGGAGCAGAGATCTTGTTTACTGCACAATTATGTTTTGCTTTCCCTTTTCTTATGTTAAAATTGCGTGTCTTGAATCAGAAACCAGGAGGAGTTATTTCACTTCTAGATGAAGCCTGGTATGCTTTATCTTTCTCAGATTAACTTGCATGCCTTTCTCATAGTACTATACGCTCATGTTTTTGATTGATTCAACTCAGCATGTTTCCCAAGTCTACACATGAAACCTTCTCCCAAAAGCTGTTCCAGACGTTTAAAAATCACAAGAGATTTGCCAAACCGAAGCTCTCTCGCACTGATTTTACCATATCACATTATGCAGGAGAGGTACAGTATTGCTTCTTCATGATTTTGTCTATTTTTAAATGATTTGAAGTTG